GCTCTCTTTGTAAGGGTGTGGTATCTTGTTTCTTTAACATTTGTGGGGTGTGGCTCTTCCCAAATCTCCATTCAACCTCCTATCCATGGGACGTACTACTTCCACCTGAGTGAAGTGAGGAAAGTTGTGAAAATTGCCTTTCCCAAGGGCACAAGATCGGTAACATGGCAGGATTCGAACCGGGAACTGCCCGGACACTTTTCCATTATACCACATGACCCTGCAAGCATTTGTCTTACCTACACTATAGCTGCAGAACTGATGTGATATATGGTTTGACCTGTAGGGGTTAGGCAGATTAGGCAGCCCGGGGAGCTCCTTGGAGGTGAACTCTCTAAATGTAGGTCCCACTGAGAGCCTGAATCAGTTATAGCTAATTAATATTAGAACCAACATGCGTATTAGGGCCGATTTACACGGGGCAAAAAAATAATTTCTCCTGTTTCTAATGTCGTGCGGCGTATCTGGTGCAACAGATTTTTTTAGCCTGTAAACAAGCCCGCAACCGCCGCACTTTCCTGTGGCATATCTGGACGTGCCATACGAAAATTGACGTGCTGCGGGCATGTTTACACGCTCAAAAAATCTGTTGCACCACATGTCATGTTCTGTGCAGTGTTCAGCGCAGGAGAAATTATTTTTACGCCCCGTGTAAATTGGCCCTTAGTCAGTGACCTGCTCTTGGAAGTTAATAACACATTGTACAATCATGTAAGTTATTGCAGCACGACAGTTATTTGACTGTCAGGGCACCATATAGAAGATCTGACAAGCAGACTTTTGGTTGTCACTTGGTGTCGTGCCTCAGGCCGTTTGCTGATATTTTCCTTCTTTCTTGCTCTCATGATCACTGTGGACTGTTTCTCAGTGACGTGGCCACACAGTGCGTCACTGCCTCTGAATAGAATTTGTTTATACATGTATGTCTAAAAATATTTGCTTTTAAAAGGTGACAGCAAGAAAAGTGAGTAGATTTGTTGAAGTATGTGTGCCATAGATCAGTTAAACACATACATTGTATACTGTATACAAACATGTAATAGATTGATAACGTTTCTGAAAGGGATATTTCTTTAGCGTGAAAAGGAGATATATTGAAGAACTCTATCCAGGAGAAAGCTATCTATCCAGGAGAAACAGCAAACTTTTGTGTCAGTATTACCTCATGTCTGTCACAACCGTCATCAAGTTGTAAATTCTCCCAAGCGCATCTACAGGGTCACTGTCTGCATCATTAACCTGGCTGAACCCTCTCCCATACCAACCATTGCCGCATGTGGTCAGGGAATAAGATTACACAGGCTCCAGCAGCTAAAGGGACTTAGGGAGCAAGAGTGATGAGTCTCCTCTTTACAGTTTATTTCGTGTGTCTCCAAATTGTGGCGTCGAATGGCGGAGCGGTGACAGTAGGCTAGAAGATGCAAGACCGAGAGGTCACTCACATGTTCGTTTCCTGGCAAGATGTTATATCTTGGGAAAGGCACTTCACATAACTTTCTTCACTCCACCCAGCTGAAATAATGGGTACCTTGGTACTTTGGTTGGGGAGGCAAAAGGTGGTGGAAGGAGAGGGATTGGCTCTGAATCCCAATACTGTGCCCAGACACAGTTGATTAACAACTCACTACCTGTACATCCTGTATAAGGCTACCTGCATGTAACAAGTTGACAGTCTACACTGTACATGTAGCTTGTATGGCATGACCATACTAGAGTAACAAAATCCACCCAGCCCCGAAGCCCAACTGGCACACAGGCCTTCTCTCATTATAATGGTCCACTGACTTGAAACCTGACAGAAACAGCCGAGTCAGCATCAGCACTAGTGTTAATTGGAGTTTGAGGTCAAAGTTGGTCTGGGTTCCCTGAGTGTACAGCATCAAGAGAAGCAAAGTTTCTCTGATGTGTTTTCAAAATTGCTCTCGAGAGTCCACTGAGGGTCAGGCTTTTTGTGGAACGCCTGCAGATTCTGTGTGATGTGTTTTCAAAGTGCATAGAGTATAACGTCGGCTCTCGTCATAATTCTGCTGAGTAAGCTGCAATATATAAGTCAATAGAGATCTACTAAATGCTGTATCAGTAGTCACTGAACTACATATGCACACCTCAGATCTCCAGATGTGCAAGAAATTCTCAAGAAATGACTCTTAGACTGAAACAGCAAAACTTCTTTTATGTCTGTAATATTGCAAAACAAATGTTTTTTTTCTTACTTGGAAATATCAATCAATCTGATATTACTCTTTGCTGGATGATGAGTACATGGTTTTGTAGGTCTTAATGTTTTGCTCAAGTATATCTGATGTTGTATTTCTGTAATGAGGATGCAATTTTGGGCTACTCAGTCCTGTGAGTTCCTTTCTTAATAAAACTTCAGAAGGCCTTGATAACACCCTTTTTAGTGGACTTAGTGGAAAATAGTGGAAATTAGTGGACTCTAAAATAAAATAGGACTGTCAACTTCTCTTGGGTCCAAACTGTAGTTGTCGCACAAGAACATGTAGTACAAGCAAAGTGTCCCATTTTCCTCTCATGATCTGTGACTACGAAGACAGATTCCCATAAAAATCAGACGTTCAACAAAATCACTGTTAGGAAGCCAAAAACTTGGCACACCTTCAAGTGAATTTTCCTGACAATTTTTCCTTCTGGCTATGCAAATGTCAGAAGTATATCATCTTTATTTAGGCATGTTGAGACATACCTGAAACACCTCCCAACGGGATACGACCTTTAAGACAATCCCTATCCTACTACTACTGAGTAAGATTTAAGCTATGAAGTGTATTATCTTACCAGGTGCGAAAGTAGAAGGATACCTGCAAGTGAAGATATTATGAAATGAAAACTCTTAGATCTAGAAAGACTGCCTCATACCTATTAGTTTAGAATAATGAATGGCAATATTTAACTTGAATTGTTGTGCAGCAGAATCAAAGGAAAGTGAAGTAGGTGGCCCATTAGAGGTGTTTCTTCACCTTTTTCCAGTGCATTACATGTAGCACAGACCACGTCGTGGGCCCATGTAATTACTTTATTAGCTTGTTTGTAGAACTCAAGGTCAAATTTACATGTAGCTCAATTGCTCATCACAGCTTAATGCATTCCCAAATGCTTCTGGTAATATCTGATAAATACAAAATTGATTTAGCAAAAACGGATCCAGTACGAGATATGATAATGATTACACCCCCTTTCCACTAGAGGTTGCTACATATTAGCAACCAAAGATGTTACAGATCACTGAACAAATTTTATCTATTTGATGAAGAATGATTTGTTTCGTAGTGATCGCTGTCTAACATGGAAATCAGGCCTTAGATGCATGTTGGTTACACAAAGTCAAATTGTATAATGTGCCCAAGATTATACTTTCATTACAGCACTAGTGCACTGTAATTGCAAGGTACAGGCTGTTATCAAACAGTAACATCTCCAACTGCCTGGTACAAAAATGTATGAAAGTTAAAAAAAAAGTTTTCAAATTGCCTGCTCAGTCACTTAGGAGCCTTGTTTCACCTTTATGTGGTTGAGAACTTAAAACTTTGTGCTGATTTGTGACTGTGAAGGTGACTTGGGTAAAGTCCCAGATAGGGCGTAAATAGGTTTTCCTAGGTCCCTGAACTGCAGAAGAAATGACTTTGGTTTATGGAATCCCAGCTGTCGCCACTTGCCTTAGAGAAAGATTTCAAACTGTCTATAGTAATGATTATGTCCCTTCTTTAAAATCCCTATAATATAAGTGTTGTTACATCATGGTGCTTCGAAATCCTGTCATGGAAATGATGCTAAATGAAGTTTTTTTAGCCATACTGATTACGTCATTATGGCATTTGCTATAATATTGTATGTAGCACATCATGTGAGGTAACGTTGACAATACTAGTGAGGAATGACAATGTGAAAGTTTCAAGGACATTTTGATGACTGTTCTGTTTCAGTTTACTATTCTTTAGTTTTTATTATTATCAATAATGACTGTGCATAAGTCGATTTCTTGCACATGCCTGCCCTTCATCAATATGTATGAATGCAACACCAGGCTCTTGTTGAATCCATTTTTTTTTAAATGTCATACTGTACATAGAGAGTATAACAAGCAAGTCTGTGAAAACCCTTAACAACTGTTACTTCTTGGTAAAAAAAAATAACAGAATCAAAGATGTCCACACGGCCAATCTTCGTCATCTATTGAATACATCTACATGTACATTGTGTGCTATTACATGGACAATTGAATCTAAATGGCTCTTAGCACGATCCCGTCTTCTCTAATTGTCCCTCTATTGGGTACCCTTACCCTAATTTTGCCTTTGTTGTTCCATGATAATGGGAAATTATCAGAGCAATTTTGTCTCATTCAATCTGTTAGAATGATTAGAAATGGATGTGATTTAGGTGTGTCATTAGATCTCCCTACTGCCTAACATAACCAAGAGAATTGATAGCAAGTACATTTGTACTTCAGTGTGTTAAAAGTTAGAGAGCTAGAGATCTGTTTAAACTTTAAAGGGATCTGTTAAGATCAAATAATTTTCAGTTTTGTTAGGTCCTTTTTTTACAGAATTAGACTTTCCAAAAAAAAAGGGAGTGGTCAATAATCAAACTTTATGTTGGCAATGGTCTAATTGTTACATGATAAAGAATAAAACCATACATTATCATTATAATGTTCATGACATACATGTATATCAAATTTCAATGGTCTACATAATGTCTGTGAATGCATCAGATTCTAATAGCGTCATGTTGGACATTACCTACTTGAAAGAATACTTTGCATTGAAAGATGGCACTATAATTGTAACGTACCATGTTTCATGTGGTTGCCTTGTTGAAATCATTATATTGAAGGCCTAGGTATGAAGGCACTGAAAATATTTATTGTAAAGATTGAATTGTTAGCTTTGTTTCTCGTTAGCTACATGTAGCTTAGACCAAGTGAAGCAAATCTTGAAAAAAGCTTAGTAGACTGACAGCTTGTCTGTTTTTGTTTCCAGGCCTGTTGGAATCCCCAAACTGGAAAAAGTTGTTGTTATCAACCCCAGCCGAAAAGAAAGCCTGCGATTGGAGGCCGTGTCGGGGACAACGCTACATTTCCATTCTTCATTCTTTCAACAAAAGGTGGGTTTTCAGGAGGGCCTGCATGGGGGTGGGGGGCGAGTGGTCCTGTCAACGCTCTACACTAAATTTTGAGAGCCGGCTGAATTCACAAAACCTCCCCATTAGGTTTTACGATGAATTCTGGGTAGCTTCAACGCATTACATAGAATCAAAACGGCAAATTACGCTCTATGCAAAATGCACCAATTACGCTCTACGTTGAATTAAAGTGGTCCATCTACGCTCTGTGTAGAATTATAGAACGACCGATTATGCTCTACAGAAAACGGCATACAGAAAAGGGCCCCTTTTCAGGTCTTCTTAAGTTCCAGTCGTCATAAATCGGTCATAAGCCACACTAATTTCATTTGTCCAAGAATTCCAAATGTTCAAGAAAGATGAAAGTAAATTAGTGTGACTTCAATAGACAAAAAGGCATAAATTGTATCTGCATGTTGCACTCTGCTGTCAGACTTGAATTGATTGTAAATACTGTAAAATGTAGTTATTTTTAGTATCAAGGGATTTGATTTTGCAGTAGGAGTGGAAAGGTTTACAATTATGGAAACCGTGTACACAAAAACACTTGTGGTGGTGTCATGATTCTGCAGTAGTCACAACGAAAACTGCATAAGAAATAAAACCACTAATATTTTACGATTTACAGCAGTGCATGTCTGACCTTTGACAACATGGAAGAAATCAGCTCATGAAATAAGGCCATTTTTGTTATCACCCAGGCCGTCCTCCCTTAATGTCTTAGTAAGTATTGTACTGTGATATATGGGAGTATCTTCGTGCCTTTTCTTCACGGCGTGTGTCTTATCTCTGTCCACAGTTGCTCCCTCCGGGTGGAAACACGTCCTTCGATGTGGTCTTCCTGGCACGGATGGTGGGCAACGTCGAAAACACACTATTTATTCAAACAAACAAAGGCACTTTTCCATACCAGGTGAGACATGCCTTCTGGCTGGGATTTCTAACATTCAATTTTTTTTTTTTTTGCTATTTATGTGTTTGGCTGATGTATATTGCCAAGGTTGCCCAACTTGCATTCTGCTAAGTGAACCTTAACTTGGCTGTCCAAACTCCAATAAATGTCCAGTCCAGGTGTTTCAGACTGGCCTTCTGAACAATATCAGGTCTTCTTGCCCAGTAGACATTTCTGCAGCTCTGCCGCCTGTATTGAAAACATGATTAAACTGCCTGTGGGCTTTTCCCTGCACAGTTGTCATAACTCATACCAGGACACCGCTAGTGTCTCTTAACTCTTATAATCCCACGGGGTATCCTAGGCGCTAAGACTGTCCATCAATAAAACCGTGTAATGCTAAGGTCACATTTCCAAACCGGGAACAACCGGGGTCCATTTTGCATGAGCAAAAAAGGAACAATTCATGTCAGCAATATGCATAAATATAACAGTGCTCGTTAATAATTTTTGAATTAATTAAAACCTGTTTTGTGTTTTTCCCTTATTTTTTTTACATCGTAATTTTTGCTGCCACAAACTGGACGACCGGGCCCCAGATTGGGAATTGTGACTGTAGCATGAGCAGGGTCTTCCCATGGCAAGAATATCAGACTGAAGATATATAGACAAATAACTGAAGAGTAACATACACTTGTAGATCTCTTTAAATTCGTCCTTTGTTTTCTATATGTCAGTCTTATAGAATATCCAGCAGAATTAAGAGAGCTGAGTCAGACGTTAAGATAAGCTTTACATCAGAATTGATAAGTAGCCCGTTTGATGTATAGTACATGTACCAGGAAAGCAACCGTAATGGGTTTTCACCATTAATGTGTGTGTCTACATCTGTGGCAGGAGATTACAAAAATGTAGTTTTACATGTAGGTTTTCCAAATGTCATATAGGATAGGCCATATCCATCAGCAACATATGCTACTTGCTAGCATTGGGTATTATGTCAGGAAACTGATACAATTCACAATGTACCTTTGGTGTCATGTCATATTTGCTACATTGTACCACTTTGGCCATATTGTTTTACTTAGCTGCATCTTGGATTCTTTCCAGAAATCATTAGACGTATCATCAAAATTATTCTCAGATCTTAAAGTTGTAGTGAACAGTCCCAAGAAATATTTTGTGATTGGTTTGACCTTATCTTTGATTTCAATCAATTTGTAGTTTGTAATGGCGTTACTACATTTGTACGTGTACTCAATAAAATTGAACCGGTAGAAATATAATTTAATCGAGGACCCGATTTACATACAGGCAAAAAACCTGAAATATGAAAACTGCTACGCACCCAAGTGTACAAAAACTGCACACTGCAATTTTTCCTGCGTGAAAATTGGTCTGCTTTGACGTACATGAAGAACATTGTGTTCAAATTGTACCCCGGCTTTTTAGGCAGCATACAATCAGATTCTGAATATATGTTCCTGACGTTCTTAAAAGCAGGCTGATTTACATTCAGGAAAAATTTGAGGTATGCAGTTTTTGTATACTTGCATCAGGTTTTTGCTGTTAGGTTTTTGCCCACATGTGTAAATCAGATCAATGCTGTTAAGATGTCCATTTGACACTAATTATATTGTTGCTGATTCTTTCTGTGTTTGTTTCAGGTTTTTGGTGTGGGTGTGCCCAACCCCTACAGATTAAGACCATTTCTGGGGGCGCGTGTGCCCTTAAATAGCAGCTTCTCCCCAGTCATCAATATGCACAACCCACATAGTGAACCACTACAGGTGAGACTTTCCACATACATGTACATGGCTGTATGGATAAGGAGGGAAGTAGTGTCAGTCATTAGTCTCTGCATGGGGGGATCCCAGTAATGCTTAAAGGTACATTTAGGAGGGCCAGATTGCTTATTATAATCATTCAGGGAGGTAACCAAAACTTGACTGTAACTATTAAGTTACAAAACATTTCCTAACAATGCTTAATGTTAATTTAAGTAAAGACAATCTTCAGATCGGCTGTATTTAATGGTGACGCAAAATGGTACACAGACCCCCAGTAATGTCTTTAAGGAGAAGGCAGACTTCACTCACTTATTACCTTTCACTCCATATGTCACTTCACTGCCATTCATTTTGAGACTATATGCACCTTTAAAGCTTGTTTTTGTATGGACTTGAATTAAAAATTTTTGTGGTGTACATGAAAGTAATTCTAAATGTCACCTGCTCCTGTGTGAGTATGACATAAAAACAGTACATTGAGCCTTCCTTTATTATTCAATTATACGACTTCTGGGGTACAGGCCATCTTCACAAAGCTGACTTATTCACAGCAAAGGTGAACCATAGTTCATACTAATCTCAACGCACAGCTCTTTATCCAGACCGACATGCATCATGCCCTGCAGAAGAGATAAAGTATTATTAAGATACACTCTGACTTTCTCGTGGGGGGTGGAAGGGCCGAACCTGATTCGTCTCATTCAGGCATCGATTTTCAATAAGGACGGGTTGGCACGTCACAACCTCTTCAACTCAGAGACCATTTCTTAGGGTGGGGCCATTTAATGTAACAAGATATGAGACGATGCTCGCAGTGTTGTACCGTCTTATTAGTCCCTTATCAGCCGAGCCCAGGTGTTTTTTTCCGTCGGTTTTGGAGCCGACTCGTGACAAGACAAGACTGGAGACTGTGACAAGCCGAACGTCGGATGATAAATGCCGTTTCCGAAATGACGGATCGAAGCCCGTCCGGAAATACGTATGCCCCGTCATGCTTTTTATCACGAAACGTTGAACCGGCGTGACCTCTTTTGGGTAACGGTGCGGACTCTTAGCACGACCCATTAAGACGGACCCAGTGATATTTCACAGGCGTACCCATCAAGGTTTCCACAGTTCCGGAACAGATGCATCATACGTCAGGCTTTAGCCCTCTAACCACTCTGTGCTTTGTTAGTAATTTTAAAGGCAAAGTAGATGAATACACTACATTAGCAGCTTTCAAGTTAATCCTGCTTAAAGGTAAGAAACTTTTAAGAGCAGTCGATACTTCAGTGTCAGATGTTAAGTTAAGGTGAAGGTATCCCAGCTAATGCAGCTAGTAAATTCAGATGACTGTGTCAACTTAACTACATCTTTACTGTAATAGCTAGTGCCCCATCAGCGTAAATCAACTAAGGCATTCAAGAAGAAGCACGTTACGTTAATAATAGCGATTTCAAAATTTTTAGAATTGTGCAAACTAGCTACATCTAACTGCCACCCAATTAGCATAAATCAAAATTGGGCATGCACTTATTAGATGAAGAGAAGTGCATTATTCAGTATGTTATACATTTTGTAAGACTTAGTGATTCAAAATTTAGTGTTCGAAGATAAAAAAATAATGACAATGATGTAAATCTCCTAACTTACTCGTAGATGGAGAAATGTAGAAGCTAGTGGTTCATGGAAGATTAGAAAACCTTCAAGTTCGAGCTCTATTATTACCTTTGAGTTTCAGAATGACACCTCACTTTTCCGATTTTCTGCTGCGCATTACGGTGTTTCAAAGCAGACTCGGTGAAGCCAGCTCAGAGCTAATACTTAAACCAGAAAATTGGATCTCAAAATTTATCGTGTTACATGTAGTATTGCATGGTAGGCATTACGAAGAAAACCCCATTATAATCTGATATTTACACCACAGGAGCTCTGTGGCATTTGTAACCTCTACCTTCATGTACCAGTTAATGTAGCCGTGTACTCCCACAGTAATGCATGTGGCCATTTTTCTTTGATGGTGTTTGTACAGTGTTGCTCATGTCCTGTTTAAGTGCTTATTTTTATATCATACAAGAGTGACAGTTATGGTTGTCATATATCCTGGGTGTTTTAAATATAAGAGAAGTAAAGTTATGCCATCTTTCCTCAAAAGATTTGCAACTTCAAAATCCTTTGGGAATGTGTGTGATTCATGTATAAAAAAATGATGTTGAAAAAAAAAGATGAAAAGTTGCAGTTGCACAGTCATGTTAGGCAATGCCAAATTCTGAAATAGACGCTTTATGGGTGTTTTATTTCCAAGAGGCTCGCTCTCCCGCTGAAAATGAGCTGACTTTAATAGCCGTTGCCTGGATTTATGAATCTCTGCCAAAGTCTGTTTGAAAATGAAACTCCTTTGTGTAACAAGGTGTCACAGGATCGGCATTCTTCACTCTATAAAGTGTTCAAGGCTGACTACAAATCAAGAGTTAATGTTTCTCAGCTGAGTTTAGAGTTTATTGGGTATAAGTTAGCTATACATGTATATATTGGTTGCTCCAGCAAGGTTGCTCCAGCAAGTTCAAGGACAAACTAGAGTTCGGAGGACTCATGCCTTCGACAGTGTGATATTGTTTTGGTGGGTGTTGTGTGTATGTATAGTGTAGGCTTTCTGAAGATGATTATCGTAGTTATAGTGGTCAGAGAGTCTTTTTGTGAACGAAGCAACATACTATTTACCTAGCCTGTACCATGTCTTTCTACAGAAATACGGAATGTAGACATCTTTGCCCATTTTCGGCATGCATATGGTGACCACTGTCAGAAAGCAACAAAATTTCTTGTTTGGACATCAGCGCGTGCTGATGTCATCCCTAAAAATTACTTGCTGTGGCCTAATCTATGTTCCATATCTGTTTTTCATATCTATTCTGTGGGGAGAGAGGGACGGATAACAATATTACTCCCTGAACAAAGCTTAAAGGCATCCAATACAATTTCAGGGAGGCAAAACCAAAAAAATATAATTCTGGATAAGGTAATCTGTCACTCTGATATTGATATTTACTGCCATTTTTTTAGCACATTTTCATCATCATTTCATACTTGCAGCATTTGAAGTAGCCCAAAAACAAGCTATGCGATGCGTCCTTTTATTTTTTTACTAGCCTACAATATGAAACAAGCAAACGTATTCCGTTCTGACTCAGTGACTTTAGATTTTTTCCTCACAGAAATAAGTATGGATTGGGTTGGTTCAACGACTGCAGAAAATTTGACTTTGAAAATCTACTTTTACTTTTTCTACCATAAAGTCTTTTTATGCCTTTAGATGACTTTACTCTATCTAGCCTGGCTATTTCACAGTTGTGTTTAATGTTGTGTGTCCTGCAGGTTGTGGAAATGTACAGCAGTGGTGGAGACCTTCACCTCGAACTGCCATCAGGTCAGACAGAAGCACCACAGAAACTATGGGTAAGACAATCCCACATCCTTCTGAGAATGATGCAATCTGTCTTGCATGTACATGTATGTTAAAGGGGCATTAGGTAACATTTTTGCACAAGAAAATTGAACCATTTCCATTGGGAAAAATTGTGTGATTGTAATATACTTCCTCTTTTCAACATAATTGTGCTGCCAATTATCTCACATTTCTGACATTAATGGTTGTCGCTACAGCCCACACAAGGTGCACTCAGTTTGTGGTACCACCACAAACTACCAGAATGTAAACAAAACGTGGGTGACAGCTGTGTTTTCAGCTTTTAAACACACTCATAAGACATCATATTTTGGCACCTCCAATTCCCGAATGCCACTTATTTGCAAAGGACTAGGATTGATTCAACTTACTTTCTAACGAAATGACCAGAAAATTGACCTTTTTGTACCATCTTAATGTTACATATTGCAGCTTTAATGACTGGAAGCTTGAATCTTACACATTAAACAGGTCAAATAAGCATGGTATAATTACAGCCCACACACATCCTTCTTATGAATACCAGCCAAACGGTTGACTGCAAGCTCGCCGATTGTTCATCAGACAGGCAAATTCCCAACATCAATTGAAAGAAACCCATTTAGATTATCACAACTGCAGAACTTCACTAGTAGTAATATAATTGCAAGGGAGAAGCACTTATAAAGCTCACATGCAGTAGTAAACACATATATCTTACCGTTGGTTTCATTTCCTTAAAATCCTTATCAACAATCTTACGTCTCAGGCCTGGAAAGTCATTTCAAGGTCAATTGAAAGGCTGACGGGCACGTTCTGGTGTCTTAAGAGCTTTATGCCAGAGCCTTTAAGTCGTGTCTATATTGATTAGTTTGAGATATTTCCAGTCTCCCTGGAAGTGACTTTTGCAAAGGTCGTAACCGTCTTTATCCCCGTGTCTGTGACCTTCACAGAGGTTGCGACCTTGAAGAATTCTCAGAATTGGCAGTTCTGTGTCGAATGTTGTGATTTACATACTTATGGACTTGTCTAGAAGCTCTGGTCAATCTTCACGGTTACCCTTTCTTTTGACATTGTGTTGCCAAGGCTGAATAATCGCTCAATGTATGAAATCATGGTTGCCATAAAGTGCGCCCTACAATGTATATAAGGTTATAGTTTATCATGTTAACCATCTTCCCGAATGAAGAAACTCTTCTGTGCACGGCCAAGTGTTTTTAGTCAGTTGACTTTCCGTCTGTCACCTTCCTCAGGGCAATACTGACTGGTTCACATTGCACAGCACAGGTGTCGCTGCTACAGATGTGCTCCCAAATGCAAAGTATTGTCTAGTACACAGAATATATATACTGTAAATCACTTATGTTTGCAGTAGAAAAAGTTTGTGGTCCGAGAAAAATGGACATGTTTGCGGAACTTTACGTTAGCAGTGGCAGCAGGTGCAGCAAAAAAAGCCAGCAAATAATATATAATGATAAGTTTGCAATACAGATTCAAAGTGACTGCAAAAACTGTAGTTAGTGTAAAAGTACCATGATTAACGGACTATATATCTGAGGAAGGTGACAGATGGTCACAGAAACATCAACTGATTAAAAACACTTGGTTGCAGATAGAAGAGAGTCTCTTTATTCAGTGTCTTACCAACCTGATGAAACTATTCATGAACCTTCTTTCTGCTCAGCCTAACGTTAACCCCAGAACCAATAGATTGCTATTCAAACAGCAACTTTCGTCTGGTAAAGTGTAAGCAAGCAGACTGGAAGATTCTGTTGATAACCATAGCCTCAAGCAAGTAGACAAGTCAAGCATTACTTAGTAATTATACATTCTACTTATCCTTCAAACTTGCTATTGACAATGGTGGAGATGCTTAAAGCAGAAGTATGGATTGTTTTGTAAGAAGTTGCATGCTTGCATTGATCCCACTCAAACAGAAAGCGCTTCTGCCTCCAGGCTTTCGGAGAAAAGCCAGGTTTGCCGTCACTACCTGCCTCACCCTTTTGAACACAGGTGACCCCATTAGCTTGCTGAAAAGATGAAAGCAAGTGCCCTTCTGTGCAGGAGAAGTTTTCCCTCCCCCGGGGCTTGTTAGGAGCTGCAGCGCACTCCAGGCCAGCGATACCTTTCAGCACAAGTCGATTTGTGATGGGAATGCGCATATTAGTCCTAACGACTAGGCGCTGCAAAGACTGTAGGGTCGTCTTAGTACATTGTATTGGGATCTTGACACTGATGAAAAGTGATCTCCTGAAACTTTTGGAAAGCAGCGGTACAATTTGGAACTACCGCATCACTGACTAAATTCAGAGAATCAGAATACTATTGCATGAATGATACTAAAATTCTCTTGTTTGTGAGGATAAGAAGTTATGGAAAAAGCAAAGTCACGTAATATACATGTAGTTATTGATTTTGTTTTAGGCAGTCACTACCAGCCATGAGTGCCCTGTTTGTGCAAGCAAGGCTCTGTTGTCATTTCCATTGCAAGTCTGGTTACAAGTATGACTCATGTTAATGTCATGAAAGTTCATCTGAGTTGGTAAATTACAAAATGACCCAGTGCTGATGTAGGAATGGGAAAATGTCGTATTTTATCTGTAATTTGTATTTCCATTCTTGCAATGTGTTTCACCTTGTTCTGCTTTTTATCGCCCGTTCCGCTCTGTAATTAGTATGACAACCCTTACGCATATTCATATATGTGTAATCAAGAACTCTTTATCATAGACGTGCAAACTTGTATTACAAAAGGATTGTTGTCTTTGAAGATCGTTTGAAGTGCGGAATATCAAAACAAATGATTATATGACAGTAGGATAGTAGACGATATCTTGGTGTGTCTGTCTAGACTCTGACAGACAGTAGCTTTACACTTAGGTGCTACCTGTGTCTGGAAGAAATGAATAAAGGTAAAGCCGTGGGACTGTGGAAAGGACAGACAGTTGTCGACAGTTGGTGAGAGGCGAGGGTCGACAGTTGAGAGTCCCAGTCCCCGGCGATGTTGTACGGCAAAGACCTGCGTCCCGTGTCCGTTACTTCTCCATAAAGGTCTCTCTAGGCAACATCCTAAAAGAACCCGGGGTTTAAATACACCATCAGGCCCCGCTCACACTGGCATCACGTACAAATCATGTGTCTGCAGCACTTGGGTAAGATAGCTGAGAAGATTGAGAGCTTCAGTGGAAATTCCAGTAAGCCAAATTCTTTGAGTTGAAGAACAGTTTTTTTTCATTAAAACTCGTCTTGTTGCGTTGCAGGAAATCCCTCCCTATGAAACGAAGCCGGTCATGCGGGCGAGTTTCGTCGGTAGGGAGGAGAAAAATCACACGGCGTTCATCAGGATAAAAACCCTCCCCAACCACGAGTCCCTCATCCTCCCTGTGGAGGTGGAGGTCACGTCAGGTATGTTACCATGGTAACAAGATAGCGTGGCGGCATCTTATCTCGTTATGTAAATACAGATTTCTAGACGTTGTTGATGAGAGCTTGGAGTATTGGTCAAGATTAATGTATTTTTCTTGCCATTAAGTTTAAGGTTACACCATTATTATTGAACCACAGTTTACTGCATGTGTTTTGTTCATCGCCTAGAGTAATTTCATTCAAACTTTGCAGGAAGTCCTTAGATCTCCTTTTTTGTTTAAATGTAATACATCAACAGTAAACTTTTGTATGTGGTGGTGAAGTGACCTTAAATTTTGTGCATTGAAGAGTTAGGGTAGAGACTCCGATCTGGTAGAATCAGCAATCGGAGGTCTGGTTAATTTGATGAATTATATTAAATTTTGCTTAAAAGTCAGTTTTCAACTTCAATGCATGTCACTTCAGATCAATGTATTGACTTGAAATATAGGACTAACATAATACATAATATGTAACCACCCTAACATGTTCAATAGCATCCAGATCAGAGTCTCTGTCAACAAACTCTGATCGTGATCTCTGTAAAGGTGGAATTGCCAAATCAGAGTCTAAACCCTGACAATCATATACTACAGCATTATGTATTTGGAACTCACCAGTATACTGTGAAGTGATATATGCTGCATTGTCTTGTATGTGTGTATGCTGATTAGTATCCCTTGTTTCTCCAGCCCCTGGTATCTACTCCTCCACAGAAATGCTGGATTTCGGCACACTATTGTCAGTTGGTAAGTTTCTCCGTCCTCAAGTATGACCTTATTGGTCAGTGATCTGCTTGTTGCAGTAAGTTCAATTATGTTCAATCAATGTATGCATGAACCTGCTTACCTTGTGGATGTTGATAAATACTGATCACAGTTATGCACATACATTGTGCCTTTCAACTGTGGATAGGTTTTCTAAACCTTTTTTGAATGGAAAATCCCTCAGCCTCCCACAGGTCTTTCTTTTAATCAGCTTTTTGTCGGCAGCAGTTGACTGGTACTTTGGTTTCATCTTGCTAAGCCCTGTACAGATTACCTGCTAAACTTCTTACACAGTGTAGGTCACAGGGGCACTGCTGCACCACATAATTCTCTTTACCTTCCTATTCTTAGAATCCCCCTCAGGCAAATGGCAAACAATGGTTTAATAAAACTTAACTGGGCAAAGAGAGAATCAGGGTCTGGAGCTGATTGAAGTGGGTTGTAAGATTTGAAGCGTATAAAGGATTGAAGGGTTTGCAACTTTACCCACTCACACTTACTAAACAGTATTGACCATTTTGTTTCTGTGTTGGATCTGGAATCTAATGCCTGTCCAGATTGCATTTGTGTAGTCTCGTAGGAAGTCGTATACTACAAGTTTATGTCTTTCTGTTAGGAAAAGGCTAAACTCCTAACAACACGAGTTCCTTCAAATAGAAATCAAGGAAGGACTGTTATATGTTAGTGAAAGATTCCTAGAACAAAGATTCCTTTGAAAGAAAGTATATTTATTACGACTTTTATATGGTCATGATGTTGCCATGCTTTTATGTGTTTTGATGATGTCAGCCAGTGATATGCAATTCACCATGTGGCTGGAATGAATTATTTTTAAATTAGAGATGCACCAACCACATTCTTGCCTTTTGTACATGTTTTGTTTTATTTGGAAACAAAATAAAGCCTACGACTCTAGTCATGAGCCGGTATAGCATATAGCCAGACAGGCATGTCATATTTTTGTTTTGATTGGCAAACCAATCACAGCTGCAACAACAATATGAAAGGCCAGAAAAGATTGCGTGTACTATTAGTCTGAAGGCAATGTACAATGTACAAACATTTTGACAAACCCCGCCCCATATGATAATTTTTCTATGGGGGTATGTAAATGTAATGGGAAAAATGATGATAATATAAACATACTTTTATTCAGATAGCTTTGCCACCTTGTAGTTGATGGTACGTTTTACAGTTTTCAAGCAATTACAGTTTACTGTATTCCTATGATTATATACATCAAAGGCCCTGGTAGCATTCAAAAGCACTGCTCCAACTGGGCATTCCATTCCCTTTTCTATCAGCCATCTGTTTGATGTATTTGCAAGGATTTCGACCCTTTTATGTCTGCATATACAATGTATGTAGACGCACTAAAGTCAGAGGCCGGGTATGGTAGAATCTGATTGGAGCTTATCCTTCTTGCGTTGTTATTCGGTCCCGACAGTAAGATAGTAACTTGGCTGTTTGTATAAAAATCCTCGTAGGAATTTCAAAGGAAGTAAATGATCTAGGGAACACCTATTGTAGCACTATTGGATGTTATCATGCAACATAAAAGTATATGTTGACTCTGGAGTCCTTTCAAAATCCACCAAGCCTTTGCGTCTGATAATATGGTAGTCTACTAGAACCAGTAAAACGTCCATGTGGGCATCCGTGGTGAAGATCCTGTATTACTCTACAGAAGAAGTTTAAGCCAACTCATCAAATTTCCTGTCAAAACATAAGATGGAAAGCCAACTAACGGCTTGGAGCCTCTCTGCCCATGCCACAAAGCACTTTGAAGTTTCCAGATAATACTGGAAGCATTTGGAACAAGCAAAGCCGTACAAATGTACTCTACAGTAATTGGAACGATCCTTCATGGACACCAAAGTTGAGGTATTGAATACCACCTTTTTGATCCCCGATTTGAAGGAAAAGTTGCTGATTTAGCGTGAACTAGTAGTGCCTTTATGCCAAAATTGAACAGTGGAGGTTAGTGGAAATGCTACAAATAGGTTCTCTGTGAAAAAAATGGCGTGACCTCTCACAGAACGTAGAGTTAAGGTTGAGAAGACTTAGATTTGAAAGCTGCAGCTGGTACTTCATCCTTTCCGATAAAATTTTCATCTTCTTTCTTGGCCGGCTTCCATCCTTGGTGGAAGATTCGGGTGGACATATGATGTATAGCAAACCATGATTAGAGGATGGAGGGTCTGAACAAGATTTACTGTACATTCAAGCCATAGGATAGTTCTGAATGAGAAAGTCAGAGCCAATAAAGGGTTTCGTTTTGTGAAGATTTCTCTGGGCTTTTCTCGGGTACAACTTGTGAATGTGCCTTCCTTACCCAGTTGTCTTTGAAGAGTTGTAATCGTGGTTGGGCAGCTGTTGGACAGACTGTACTAGGTCAGTATAAATCATCATCATCATTTCAGGTGGGCTGCTCAGGCTAGAAGTCCTGAAAGACCTTGGGCTCGCTTCAAGGTACAAAATGTAGTTCTTAGGTTTTATTTTGTCAAGGTCCATGCTGCTGAGCCATACACCTCATTAAAACCTTTGTGTTGGAAGTGCAGATACATTTGTACCTTGTGCCTAATATACAGACAACAATTTAGCCATGCAAAAGTCTCTTATTATTTAAGGTTGATGTCCTTACACTGGGTTTGGAATCACTGAAAGTCATATTTGTAATAACATGCCACCAAACACACAATGAAAAAATATATCTTTGTTTACCTTTATTTCTTCTTCCTCTTCTTCTCCAAACAAATAAGGTCAATGACCTGAACCAGACGTCTGTCACCTTGGTAACTAGTGTTGGGTTACATCATGTTACAACTTTATAGCAGGAGGGATTTAGACTCCTGTCACCATATATATCATGAATGTGTTGAGTAAGAATTAACAGATCAGACCATATGTAAAGGTATCCATGATTATGCATTTGCTTTGCAAATGTTACCTTCTACTTTTTTACTTGTTTCCATTCGCACGCACAGGACAAAATTGTCTATAATGATGCTTCTGTCAGGTACTTCACAGTAACTAGACACAGTTTGAACAATTAAAACTAACAGTTTATATATTACCCATAACGAGTAAAGTCGACTTGAATTTCCCTGGGGGATATCTTACACTGTATGGCAAAACTTCCCAGTTATAGCTAATTACACATAATTATCATCCACACTTCAGGGAACTAACATCTGTCCAAAGCAGTTCCTGACTTTTCTTGCACTTCATCTCATGATCCAAATTCTTGAATATTCGTATATCTGGTAATTGAAGTATAATTGCAAGCTGTATACCGAAGACTTTTAGATAGGAATTGATGCATACTTGAACATATGGTTTTAATTTGTGTCATGCAACACTTTTAAAACTATGAACGGCAGCAAATGGGAAGAGATTATCCTTACAACGTAGAGTGTGGAATAGTATCAGGCAAGATAGTGCCGAGGGTATTAGGTGTCTGGTGTGTGAGTAATCCTATACGGAATAGGGATTACTGGTACTGCATGTCTTCTGGGAGTGTTGTATTCAGACTGGGCTTCAGGGCGATGTTATCCAAGTTTTACATAATGCAGCACGTCGGCTGAACGTACATTCTGCACTTGCGCGAAACTGTGTATAATACTTCGACAGTCAAAGTCAAAGAACATTATTCTCATTTAAGGTTGTATTCGCATATCTAAGGATGGCATCCTGTCTGTAGTTTATCAAATGTGTCAGAAAAGACATTGTCTGAAATGGTCAAAATTGTGATGCAGCGTTGAACAAACATCCAACGAAATCCCTGAAAAAATCCAGGTTTCACTGAGGTGCGGTATGTTCTGCCGGCATGCTTTCAGGCAGTGTGGTATTAAGACTGGGCTCCAGGGCGATGTTATCAAAGGATTCGTAATGCTGGGTGATGAATTTATCCATACCCATACTCCATCATCACCTCCGAATGTTATTCCACTCTCCAGAGTAGGTTTTTTTTTTTAAGCACCAAACTTTTGAAGAAAGCATTTGCTACGTACCATCATACGTGTAAGATGCAGAAAATGAAAGGGTTTTCGTGGTAATGTCTGTGAACACAAAGGTCAAGGAGGTGGTGATATAGTGTAAATCACTTTATGTTTGCAGTAGCAAATGTTTGCAGTATGAGAAAAATGGACAGGTTTGCGGAACTATGCTTTTGTTGTGGTGGCAGGTGCAGCAAAAAGAAAGCCAATGAATTATTTGTTCATGGAAATAAGTTTGTTGTACAGAAGTGACCGTGAAAACTGGGAAATATAGAAGTACCATGGAAAAATCGTGATTTAAAGTATATGCAACGCTATATTTAATTTAATTCATATTAATTTTTTGCCAGTTACTGGAGATGAACCACCTCAAACTTTCTTCAATGCACATGGTTCAGACTTTATAACTAGAAATTGTTGGGTGGAAAGTCTAATGTCTCATTCTTTGCAAAAGTACAAAACTTTGTTTTTACAGCTGAACTTATCCTTCAATGTATAATTTGCACAGAGTACTGTTAATTTCTACATCTTAAGGATTATGTTAAAAGTGCACATGCCAAGTATAGTATTGATGCCATCTACTCTGTAATTTCCTTATACATGTATTATCCATGTGAGATAGGTGATTAGATATCATTAGGTAATATATGAGACATTGTATTAGTGGGGCTATTTCTGTTCTTAAACCTTCCTTGAAGGTATGAAGCTCCAGTAAAGCTTTGCTCGTGGAACAATGAGATAACTCCGGGTAATATTGTGACTTCCTGCCTCGGCATATCAGATATAAGCCGGCCTAGTCCTTCTCTGTAGGAGTGATGGAAGCGTTGGCACCCAATCTCACAATAGTGCAATCTAAGCACACTCTGTCATGACAACAGTGGTTTTATGGTTGTCAGTTTTCCACATTTTTCAGCTTTTCTTGCGAGGTATGCAGCATTACTAATCCTCAGCACCAAGGACAGTGTATCACTCAAATGATTTTGAGATAAGGGATGGAGATAAATACTCATTTCCTCCACTCTGGATGCATTGGGAGATCCCTGTATAGCAACAATTTGGTTCAACCAATGCTGCCAGGGAAAAGGAAAGTGATCTTGATCCAGTTTAAGCTCACTGAAGAGCTACTCTTCCACTGGTCATGACCGAGAAGACAGACGCCAGGTACAGTATTTACAGGTTTGTTGTACCAGGGAAATTCCTCTAGCTCTTTTCGACAAGCACAATGAACAGTGGACCACCTCCTATATATGGATTACAGCCCATTCCTGTAAGGTGCATGTCAGGTGAGCAACAACAGCCAACTCCCAACCTCTTGGTCCAGAGGCAGTTTTGCTAGCCACTGGACCATTCACGCTACACCAGAACAAATGATAACACATCACACACACCATAGCACATGATGGATACCGCAAAAGCATTTGAGTAATACGCTGTCCTTGGTGCTGAAAGATTAGTAACTATGCATACCTTACAACAAAAGCTGAAAATGTGGAAAACTGACAACCATAAAACCAGTTGTCATGACAGAGTGTGCCTATTGATAAAGCTTCTAGAATTCCTTCTTATCTGAACTGCTGGGATAACATGTATGCAAACATGTAGTAGACACACATGTAACTTACATTTTTCTTTATTTTTCAGATGAACCTAAGACTTTACAGCTGCATCTACTAAACCCCATGGCAAGAGATGTACAAATCACTGTAAGTTCACATATCAATTTTAACAGAATGCTCAGAGTGTAACATTGCTTCACAGCAATTTTGTACATTCTATCAACATATCTTTAACTATTGTGAAGCTTTCCTTTCAGCTATATTGCTGAACAATCTGTTCTATCTCAATCAAATTATTATTTTTTAAAAATTTAGTACCATAATTTTATTTGAGTGTTATTAACTCCCTTGATTAATAAAAAATTTGGGGTATAGTTAGATCATTGAGACTTGTTGTGTAATTAAAAGCTAGTAAATTTCATTAATGGCTCTTGTCTTTCAGAATATAAAGTTATCATCACCAAATGATGCAGTATCTATAGACTACAAACCAGTCACACTCAAACCGTCAGTAGGAGGGAGGGACACAAAAGTTGCCAGTGTAACGTTCTATGGTGAGTACAAAACTTCAGTATGCTTCAACCTAATACAAGAGTGATATACATAAGCACGTCTGCAGAACGCACTACGCTTGCACAAAATCCGTAAAATATTTTGCGTAGCACTTTGACAGATTGTCCAAAAATTAGGTTGCCCATCAGAATTTTAGGTTGCCCCACCTCTTTTAATAAACTTGTAAACTTGTAAACTCTAAGTTACTACTTTCCTCAAATTAAGTAATGTTACATACATAAGCCTTTGACAATATTTCTAACAGCCTTTAGTTAACTGATACTAGTTATAGCCATTAATATCTAAAATTAAAAAGCATCTTCGGGATACACTGGTGCAAGCCAAGTGGGCATGATTTTTTTTTGGGGGGGGCACTCTTTAAATTCAGGTAGCTGGGCTACCTAGGTTCAAAAATAGGTTGGCCCAAGTAAAATTTGGTTGCCCGGGGCAACTGGGCAACCAGGTATTTTGCACGCTGAGACTGAGAGGGACTCTTTTAGTTTTCAATTAAGAGAATGACTTTTCCTAACTTTCAACTTGATATGAGCTGTGTATGTACCCAAGGTTGGTCCTCACTACTAGTATCTCCAAAGAACTCAGGCTGATTTGAGCTTTTTGTGGTTCAAACAAACAGTGCTCCCAGAAAGAGTGCTGTACACATGAAGGCATTGACAGAGTGGCCCAATTAATGCAAACCCTAGCAGAACAACCGTAATGGTTCGGAGAGTTATCACACGATTGTCTAATCCTTTGGAGCCTCCGATGTTCCACACCAGGCCACTAATGTTAGCTATTAGCTTTTAGTGCGCCCCAACCAACATCACTCCAACAGTTCGAGCTGGGGATAGTTGCTTCAGGATGGCACTGAGGAACGACCCAACTGGCCTGTAAAGGGGATGAGACTGACAGCAATTAAGGGCGTCTCATATATCTGAAAAAGGCCCCATAACCATTTGGTTTGCTCTGGTGGTGTGACTTATACCGCTCCAGTTTATGGGTCAACGGACGTAATTTAAGCTTACAGGTGCTGTGTGAGTAAGGGGGAACATAGGGGCACATGTTTAGCACTTTTAGCTGTTATTAGGGAAATAACCAACACTTTATGGTACACTGCAGTTTGCTAATAAACTGGTATGGGAGGCAGAAATTCGCACATTGTATGTGGAGCAGCCATTGAGAGACATAGAATGGCAGCAATGTTGTCCATTACCGTAGTTCAGTTCAAGTTGTCAGGGTGTAACAATTTTACAACATGTATTGGTCTCAGCATCTCAGTCAGGAGTGACACTCACTATTATCACGAGCATACTAAAGTCTTAAGCTTGATAATGCTGTGCCTGGTGTGTTGCTGATATGGTATGTTTGATATATCATAATATTATGTGTCACAGATGTACATGTACATGTGAGACAAAAAAAAAGACCACTTTATTTCCAACCAACTTCAAGTTTGTGTTGTTGTTTTCATTGAGATATTCAAACTGGCCAAGTTCTAACTTTTTTGGAAAGCATTTAATCAGTCCCACTGTCAAGGGATATGAGGTAAAAATAAGAGCATTGTCAGTCTGCAACAGGTTAGAAAAGATGCTTGAGTAATACTGAACTTCACAGAAGTTTTGATTTAGTGTTCAATTACGGGGGCCCTAAACAGCTAGCAGGGGTGTCGGTAATTGTGCTAACACAGGGCGTTCAGGGAACCTGTTATAGCGCATTCAAAGCAATTTGTTCGACTTTCGAGATGTTTGATGCCTCGAAGGATTGGAAATTACCCAGCTCGTGATATGAACAGTTTATGTCGGCTCTTAACACAGGCGCACATGCGTTATGCATTCCAATAAAGCAAGGAGAGATTGGGGAGGAAGATGGTGGAACTCAGAAAGCCATAGGAGACTGAGTGTCTCCTGCAGTTATGTTCCAATATACAACTCCCAAATGATAGATCACTTAAAGCCAATAGCATAGAGGAATTCAATCTTTACTTCCTACCCTGGAGGTTGAATCATGATTACTCAGTTATAATTCAGTGAAAGCTCCATGTAGGTAATTAAAACATTTTGCAAACGTCACATTTGAAATCAAACTTGTGGTACAAGGGAAGACCAAGCGACATATAAAGACTGTGGATGGATAAGGAAACAAAGATGAGACACATTCTACATGTAGCAGCATACAAAACATTAGATGTCAGTCCTGCCATACATTTTGTACTTCGTTATTGAAAAGAGAAGGGGTCCTTTCCATCCATTATGAGCGGTTCAAAACTTACAGCCTGGTCTCAGGTTTGACGTCTTTCAAGAAGTGATAGTCATCTGTTAAATTGTCAGTCCCTCCACAAATGAGGTAAATCTCCTGACCATAAATGAAGAACTGTATGGACTGTCATAATTAAAGAACCGTATAGACTGTCATATCTTACTGTACTCACTCAGTCGCACTTTGTCAAGCTTGCCCAGGACCTCAGAAGACCTGTACATATGGCTTGATTAATTGTGACAGCTGTAATAGCTTCTAAACCCTGCTGGCATTCTGAGATGGAGCAGACATGTCGATTTGTTCGCTCCAGGGCGGGAAAATGGGCCTCAGTGCCTGTCTCGAGGCAGATAACTGGGGATGTTCAATCTTAGGGACGGGTTTGGATGATAGGGAACCACTGATCTATTGTCAGAACTAATAATGCCTACCTAAACACTTTCAACACTTTATGTGTAATTATGTGCATAAAGTAGATTATAAAGATTAACACTAGTCAAGTCAAAAATGACAAATGGATATCCTGTCATATGCTGGCAGATTTTGTGTAATTAGGGATAAGAAAGTCATATAGTCTGGACTCATTATAGAGAAGACAGAAGACAGAATAGCGTCAGTGACAAATGGGTATCCGGTCATGTTCTGGCAGATTCTGTGGTAATTGGGACTGTATCTGGTATTAGGTACTTAGTAGTCTGTACATCGACTAGTTTATTAGTCGTTTTGTACATCATGCATAGTCTGGACATTTTTCTTCTGTCGCCGAGTGACAAATCCACTGTAGATTTGTTTTCATTTTGGCGACACTAGCAGGAAGGTCAAATTGGGGGTCAAAATGGTCCCCTGGTTGGCTGGTATGATTGAGCAACTCAGGAACTAAGAAGAAAATGGAGCAACTCACTGACAGGAACCAGAATATGTGCGCAACAGTGGAAAATGCCCGAATCAGCAAGAAATTTACAAAATAATAAACAAAAGCAAGAAATTTGCAACAACTGTAAATAATTTGTGAAGGTGTGAAAATTTGTTTTTGTGTTGTGTTGATAGATTGCCTGTTTGCTAACTGGCAAAAACTTTAGAATTGATTGCTTTACACTCAGACTGACTCACTCACACTCTGTCAAGCACGCTTTGGACCTCAGAAGATCTTAATGTATGATGAATATCACTATGTAATAGAAAAGCATGTTGCTAAAATATGTTGTGAACTCTTCCAGCAAATAAAGCCACCACCCACAGGCAGTGGGCAGGCAAGATAGTCGTCAAGTCCAAGGACAAAAACATCCCAAAACTGGAGATACCGTACCAGGCCGAGGTGCTGCACGGGTAAGAAAAAAAAATTGTCTTAACTTAACCAGCAAATTATGCTAAGACTACATTTTGTATGACTACTTGTCTGATATATATTTGTCAAACATTTGACAGAAAGGAAAACAGTAGATTAGAGCAAAGCATATTCTTTCAACTGATATATTACTCAGCCACAAGTTGAAATATAAAGTCGAAAAAATATTATTCATTCCTCGAGCTAACCAACATCTTTCAAACTGCAGTCATCCTTCCCATTTCAAACTCTTTCAGCCTGTCACGTCTGGTTTCGCTCTGTCAGCTTATTCAAGTGTACAGGGGCTAAATGACACAAGTTCATGAAGTTCTCTCTTATATAATGTGCTTTTCCAGTGCAAATCCCCCTGGTAAAATGATACCATACAGGTCGTAGTGCTCTGACCTTAGTTGACCTATACACCTGAAGAAGCTGACAGGGCGAAACCAGTTGTGACAGGCTGAATAAAAGTACTATGCAGTTCATCAATCAAGATGTCTTTCCAAGGGACGACTGTGGTGTGAAAGATGTCGGTTAGCTTGGGGAATAAATCCACTCTACTTAACACTCAGCTACATGTTGAAATACATGTACTTCATACCTTAAGTCATTAGATTAATCACAATTTTACTGTTGTCCATTATTTATGAACAGTTGTCCTCTGCAGGCAATCATGCTTTAAATTTGACAAAATGTACAGTCACCCAACTATCATAGAGCAGAACTTGATGCCACCAAGTACAGCAAGGGCAATCCTTACTAAATACAACTTGAAACAATGATTACAGATACATGTACATGTATATGAAATTGTGTGAAGTTACATCTAGCTGTGACAGGTTGACATTAAGTGTGATACAACTGTGACCATACAGTGTGCCTGCAAAAATAGTGTGTTACACTGAAGGGTGGTAATACAGGCTATGCAGATACAGATAGAACATCTTTAATCTCTTTCCCCAGGACTCTTGGGTATGAACAGAACTGTACCCTGTTCTACATCGGCCCTGCCACCACGGAGCCCATCGTGCGAGAGGTGATGCTGACCAACACGTTTGACTTCCCTGTGGTGGTTCACAACGCGACACTGCCAGAGGAGGCTCAGCAGTACTTCTCTGTGAGTTTCCAATAGTCCTGTGTACATATAGTATACAACACAGGTGATTCAATGAAATACGTAAAATAACATAGAATATTGTACAACACAGGGTATTCCGTATTGCCTGAGGTACATGTATTGGTCCAACGTCCAAATTCTGTATTTGAATTTTTTAAAGCAGCGCACACAGTTAGGGCAAAACGCATTTGAATCATTTTATGGAAGATATGGAAGCCCGGGCCATACCGTAAAGTACAGCCCGGTCCAGAAGACCATTATCGAACGTTATCACGGCCCGGGTATGATATTATAAGTATTTATGGTATTCATGTCAGACTTCCTTAAGGCCAATTTTTAGTGCACATAATTTCTTATGCACGAAGTTCGTGGCTTATTTTTTCATGAAAGTTTGTTCAGTACTATGTCATGCTTTTCCCTTTTGTTTTGCAGATTGTTGACTTTCCGGAGCCAGTGACAATCCTTCCCCAGAAAAAACATGTTCCATTCCTGCTGAAGTTCTTGCCAGACGGGGTGAACTCTGTTCTCTCCACCTTCTTGCTGCTCTACACAAACATTTCCAGATTTTCCCTACCAGTGCAATCATACTCAGGGCTGCTAAAGGTAACACTCCATAGAATTATACATGTACATGTATATTCTCCCTACCAGGGCAATCATAGTCAAGGCTGTTAAAGTTAACCTTTCATTCGAGCTTAAATGGACATGTCAATTCTCCCTACCATTGCAGTGTAATCTGAATCATCAATCAGTGTTCTGAATCATCATAACTTTATAGTTTCCATTATCAATTATTTATCAATTAGATTCCCGTACTATCTTTTTATCACAATTAGAAACTCTTAAAAAGTGATGCACAATCACTCGAAACAACCTCAGGAACTTTCTTAAGAAAAGTTTTTTTTCATCCAGTGATCCCACTGAAATAACATTTTCCTCCACGCTGTTTTCTAATTACATTTTAGATAATATCATTAATGGATTTCTGTGTACGCTGTCCCTAAGCTTGTACCGTAATCGGGTACTCTTAAGAATCCATCTTGAATGATGATCACACTTCTAGATCTCATTTCCCTTTGGCATTGTTCCAGGCTTCGGTTCACTCAGCGGACAACTCATTAGATTTTGGCACCATGGGCTCCAAAGACAAACGCAGTATGACCTTCGCTGTCACAAACAGTAATCCAACAGAGGTGAGTGACGTAGAAAAAGGTACAGTGCATGGAATGGTGTCGCCCCCTGTAGAGTGCAACCATCTATCTTTGTTACAGGCATACATGCCTAGTTATACATATTACCTGAGTGTGTGAAACTGGGTTTTCACCGGAGGTATTGTTTTTGTGCGACTGTGTGTGCATCTTTTATTGTGTCTCTGCATACCTTGGCAAGCAATATAAAGCTGTTGATCGATTGTGACAATATTTTGTATCGATTGTGACAATATTTTGTATGTGGGAAGGTTTGGGGAAGATGAAGGTCAAGGTTGACTTTGGGCCTCCTATGAGCTTTCCTTGGTATTGCAGTGGTACTTCCTGTTTTTTTATCTTCTGTTCTATAGACATGCTGTGGTCTTGATTTTTGCGTGGCAGATAGCTTTTGAGGTTGGGAAGGAGTATTGACATACATGTATTAGGTTGTGCCTCCCAGCATCTTTTTATATAATTTTGTCAGTGTTTGAACTTTCAACCTCATAAAAATTATGCCTTTCATCTTAATGTTTTATCTTAAAGTTCTTTTGATAATAAAAAAACATGTGACATTCCTGTTCTGTCATTACCCCGGTAACTCCAAATGCTTCAATTTTTTTGTCGATATAGGATGCTCTTTGAAGGAAACTCTTGGATGCTCGCACATGGTTTTACACAATGCTTGTTTGTTTCCTACACATGTAGGTAACAATAAACTCCATCAACACCACACTGCCGATGCACGAGACAAGGTTTGAGATCCTTGGGGTGGAGGAGGGCAATGGGACATACCTAACCATGGAACATAGAGACAGACCGCAAGTACCGGTATGTATCTATGAATACATTTAACAGCCTTTAATGTACATTATTTTGTATTGTGCAAAGCACTTCGGCACAATGTCTCATTTAAGGTCGTATCCACATATTTAGGGATGACATTCTGTCTGTAGTTTTTAAATGTTGTGTCGGAGAAGACTACGTTTGCAACAGGCAAAATTCTGATGCAACACTGACCAAACATCCGTTGAAAAACATAAAACATCTGGGTTTCGCACAGGCACAGTACGTTCTTCCAACATGCTCCATGAGTTCTACATAAGAAAGCATTGTAGAATATGGAATCTTCTTATACAACTAAGGCCACACCAATTTATTCCTTGGTTTGCAGATATTTTCAAAGTAAAAATTTAGTGACAGGTCAAAATGAAAACAGAGTTCTTGAAGGCAAACTGTGTATGTGACTTTGTTTAATAATCCATTAAAACTGTGAAACACTGTCAGTACTTTCCTCTCACACTCTAGGGCTGGTTATTTTATGATCACTTTTTTTAGATAATGAGAACCAACAAATTGAATAGGTGTGGCCTAAAGTGTTAGTTAAGTGTTGACCATTGATATTTTAATGTCTTCTTGCATCTGCTAAATCAAGATAGGGAACACTTTAGGAATTGAAGGTGTAGTGTAGAGATAAAAGATTGCCTTTTAGTATTATCACCTGGAGCCTTTTTTATTAATTGTATCTTCATTTGACAAAAGTAATGATTAGAGGCAGGAAATTTGGCTCTTGGCAGCTTTTCTCACTTAATCCTGTGTGACAGTCTTGATTTGATGATAAAACTGTGCAGCTACCATAACACTGTTATTGCAAATTAATTATTAATATTCATTAAACCTATTATCAGTCGGAATACGATAAAGGAGAAATGAAATGGTGGGCTGTTATGTTTTGAAATTGACAGATGGGACATGAAGATAAAACATTAATGCTGTACATCATGAAAAATCGAAAGTGATCTCGAACAAGTTTACCTCAAATCAACTCAAAGAACAGTTGAGCTACTCTTCCACTGGTCATATCAGAGAATGCAGACCTGTGTGCATTACTTACAGGTTCATTGTACCAGAGAAATTCCACTAGCTTTTTTTTCACAAGGACAGTGACTAATGTTCCATCCTAAATAAGGACTGAAACTTCAAAATCATATCCAGTTGCTTGAGTAACTGTTTTTTGGCATATCGTATTACCTGGATGTCTAACCTTCATCGACGTAAGGACTGAAACTGTTTCTAATAGCGGGAATGTCAAGTGAGCAACAATAGCCGGGATTCGAACTCACAACTTTTTGGTCCAGAAGCAGGGTCACTAACCACTGGACTAAGGACCCTCAATGTCTATCTGCTATGAGCAGACATTGAAATAATGACATCCAAGTCATTGATGAAAGTAATATTTGAACTTTCTTTCTTGATGTAGTTTACGTTGAAGCCGCACCACTACTCAGTCTGGCTGGTGGAAGTTGTTGCACCCAAGGAGGAGGGAGTTTTCCAGGGCAGCTTTAACATCGTTACAGATCACGAGGTAACACCACTCAAGACAAGTTTCACTCTTCTCTGGCATTAGACATAATATCATTAGAAATGTGTGTTTTGATGCAGATTATTATCGTAGTGCACTTAATGTCTTCTAGAGAGCATCGTACTCTCCTAAATACATTCTGTCACAGTGTTTTTAGTCCTACCATTCAGACAATAACTTTTATCACTGAGACCATCTGTTGATATTACGCACACGTTACAAAGTCAATTACACAATACAGAAGTCCTGCCATTTGCACACTGCTTATGATTACTCTTTTGTGTAGATGCTGAAAATTCGAAACTGTTGCTATATGTAAATTCAAGTTGTACGTAGTAATGTAAAAGAAAGGTCTAATCCTAGTGTCTCTCTCAATTCAGAGCAACCAGTGCGTAATAATGTACCCTCACAATTCTTACCGGTCTCCCATATCTTTACGGTGTCAACGGTTTATCGGAAATTCAGAATTATTGGCATTGACGCAAACAGGGCTTTTATTAATGATTCATATCCACTTCCATCCTCGTTAAAGCCTCGTTAAGGAAATTGCAAGGTCCAGAAGGGTCAGGGTTTGTATAACCTGCTAAATAAAGATTGGTGGCTAAATATTTCATATGCGACAGGAACCTTACAGTAGTGATTGCTTATAAAGCAGATGGGTCCACCCTCTTGTTACAATGTATGAGTGGCCACAAAGCTTCACACACATACATGTAGAGACATTGATAGAATTATTCTCTTTCGATTTAGCAAGTCATACTTCAAATTTGACTCCTTGGTTAAAGCCCTAAAGTTGTACACACAAAGTGATTAAAAATTTAAAATCTTTAAATTCACAAAAGGACATATATATGGCATATAGTAGTGATGTTTGACTTTGAAAATAATTAAGTGACTCTAAATTTCAAATTTCTGTTGGTTCTGACGGTTCTTGCCTAGTATGCACAATATTTTTAGGAAGTACAATTATCAAACCCATCTCTAGTGAGCGCTTTTTAATACAGACCTTCTGGCCATTCTGGTGAGTTTTATGTTGTCTCGTTGATTATTTTCCCATAAATGACCCAAGTAATGAAAAGCCTGTCTATAGTGGCCACCTGTCAAGTACATTACATGGTCACTTCAGGTAGGTTTGACTGTACGTGATCAGTTTGACTACAACAAGGCACATGTACAGTGTACATGTATGCCTTACTTTCTGCTTGACTGTTAACTGCTCCAATGTTTTCCAGACGTTGCAGATTCCCATGTCGGCCAGGGTGGCCCTCGGCAGCATCACCGCTAAAGAGATTAAGTTTTCACCAACATTTCCAGTAAGTAACCAGACATGCCAACATGCAAGTACTTTAAATTTGTAAAGCTTAGTACACATTTTTACTCTCGTACCTTCAACTTTATTCATAGTTCATTATTCATTTATCTCTGACATTTCCGTTTATCACAAGCATCACTGATGATAAAACTGATGCTGGTTTAGCTACGATTCACAGACATGCAAATGAAGACAGGAGTATGGCAGATGGTGCTTCTTGCCATGATGCCCTTTTGATCAATTTCAAACGCAATTTCAGTCGGCCATACAAAAAATTTTTCTACATGAGGAAATCTGAAATTAACATTTACTGCCATTTCTTAGCACATTTTCAGAATCATTTTCATGCTTATGTTTGAAATAGCCCACAAAGCTATGTGAGGAGTCCGTTTATATTTTGGTACCACTTGCTAAAATTAGCCTGCTGTATAGGAAACATGTTCTGTCAGTGACATCACATTTTTGCCTCAGATATCAGTATCCTATTGGATAGGGTTGATTCAACTTTTTAGGACATTAAAGAAACAACCACTTGAATTGTTTGCAATTACTCCCTTGAAATTTTTTTGGGTACCTTTAAGAAAAAAACACTTGATCTCATACACGTATATGCTCTCATTTTAACCTTCAAGAATCCTTGTTTAAGGCCTACAAACTATGCTTTCTCTGACACTATACATTAATTGATGATTGTGTTTTTTTTCAGGGAAAGGTTGCACACAAGTCCATATTTGTGCAGAGCTCCTTCTCGTACAAAACCAAAGTGGAGTCCTTAGTTCCAGTTTTACCTGCAGACGACCGCTTCTACTTCAAAAAGAAGGACTCTATCAAAACAGAGGTGGAGCCTAATAAAAAGACAAAGGTGAGGGTGATACCATTTTTGAAAGAGAAAGCTTTTAATGATCATATCAAATTAGCAGAAGATAAGATGTTGTTCGTAACATAGTTTGAAACGTTTGTTTGTTCCAATGACATCAGAGAAGTTTCCCTGATACTGCTTACAGCTTACCCTGCTTACAGCTTAAGTTTTTAAAAGCAGAGTTCCAAACTTTTTGCTACATAAGTACAGACTACAACACTTACTGGAAAAGGAAGACCGACACAAACACAAACATTATAATATTATGTTTACGTTCACAAACATAAGTCTTAGGTTGTTTGGTGTTGCCGCTGTGCCTGCAAAGCTGCTACATGTATGTTATGCCAAAGGGCAGTTATGACAGTCACACACAGACACAGATGTCTATCTGGAATCTGTATCCATCTCCAGTGTTTTCCAAATGGAATACTAGTATCTCTGATTTAATTGTTTTGTATAATGTACCTTTCAGATTGGTACCCTGTTCTTTGACCCAAGGCTAGAGTGTTTGGATGACTGTTATGTTGGATTGCCAACTTCTACAGCAGGTAAACTATGTAAATTCATTTCAAGTTAGCAACTTGAGACTAGTCTTGCCGCTGTATTTGGTATCATGCGCTGTTATGACATTTTTGGAAGCAGATTCAATTCACTGTTTTATATTAAATGCATGACATGTTCTCAATAAGTATAGCAGATGTATTGATAATGGTTCATGTCCATGGTGCTGATCATATTGTAACAGTTGTAGTTTATGAAAATGCAGTTATATTGACTAATACATGTACATGTACAATACAGAATACAAATATGCAGTAATGATTGATGTAATGTAACTTACATACAGACTAAACTGATAGGTGACACCTTAGGGCACTTGTATATTATACATTCTACAGGATATTATATATTGCACAGGACCTAGCCTCCTATTTTTATTCTCTATGCTGGTTAATACAGTACAGGTACAGATATGCAGTTGATTGATGTAACATAACTTATATGTATATGCAGACAAAGCTCATGTTTTCAGTCTCACTATAATGATGTAACGTTTGTTGCAGATGGTCACCAGTGGTTATCGAGTTTGACTCTAGACAAGGAAGCAGGGGACATAGACTCTCAACTATATCAGAACTTTCTCACAAAATGGACAGATCTAAAAACATCGGGCCAGACAAGGTGAAGATTCTGAATAATTGCAACCTCTGTGCCAATGTTGCTGTTGGGAGGATAGCAAATGTCCTATGCAATTTTTTTACCCTCTCAGTTTGGCAAAAACAAAGCAAAAACATTCGCTCCCGTATGGTCCAATGGGTCTAACGGAAGTTCCGATAATTGTTAATATATTGCATATACCAGGTGTCACTGGCCTTTAGATCCATTCGCAGTCACTGACAAAAGTTTTTATTTTTTATTTTTTACAAATCAAAAAAGAATATTTTTAACTTAAAAAGTTTTTTTTAAGAATTTTTAAAAAACTTTATTGATGAACTTGATTGATGAAAGATAGTGGATTCTGTCTAAAACATCGGACTCCTCAGATAATTTATCCAGTTGCTTGATTTATCGTGCATCTGAGTAGCTAACCTTAGTTAAGACAAAACTATGTAAACAGATGGCAGGACATTGAAATTTTGACTATCTAATCAAGTTCTACCAAGACTGAATTATCATTATTTTGTTGTTTGCTTCTTTCAGTCCGAACGTTACCCTACACATCAGTACATCGCTAGTGAAGGGTCCGCTGACCACGGCTAGTGCACAGCTACAGTTCCCCACACTCGTCACAGACCAGAACCTCGACTTTCCTCTCACACATGTAGGCGGGAAGTCGGTGAGTTTTTTCGTTCTTCTTCGCAGGTCTTTATGAGTAGTATAGCCCATCAATGACAGTCTTCCATCAACCTCTGCTCTAGGGCAGATACTAGTACCAACATCACATTTGCCCATTGACGGCTATGGTTAAAAACAGTGAAACAAGTACTTTCCCAACAGAAAGTCACAAAAGGTCTGCCTCCCAAATATACAAAGAAAACAAGGGATTGACCAGCTCAAACTCTGACAACAGTAAACAAACTGTACCTTTGACCTTACTTCTCATGTATCCATCCGCTTTGGCCATGCAAGACCTAACCACTCAGATGTCATTATGCCAAGTAAACTGGCAAATTGAACAAAACATGTCATTGACAAAACCCTTCCTGCCCTTATAGCCCAAAAGTTATCCAAATTGGACTGCATTACAGTTGAGTCACAGGAAGAGAGGGGGGAATGGTGTAACCGCAGACTCAGGAAGGTTGAATTGGAGGTCAATATGGTTTCCCACAGGCTGTGAGGAAGTGACAGTGCACAGAATCAGTGAGGAATACACAATAATGAATAAACCAACAAATTCACAACAAGTCTACATACTTCATGGATGTGTGACATCTTTGATTTCTTGTTGTTTTCCAGACAAGAAGACTAACGATACAGAACCCTGCCGATGTTCCCATCCTGGTGCAGCTTGTCCCTCTGGCACTTTACCCCAATGCCTCTTCTGTCCTGGAGTACATCCACCACTCGTAAGTACAGCTGTCAGACCCTTTTTTTTCTTTTTCTCATCTTCAACTGAAGTGAAGTATAATGATTTTTCAAGTAGCTGCTATTGCAATGTGGCTGGACACTACTGTAACAGCTCTCTTGTGATCATGAAAGGATGGCTAAAACGAGATGGGCGGGAACATTTCCAAGGCATCCATCTGGAGGATCTGTATGATCTGTCAGGCTTAGGGAAAAAATGTTGTGTTTTCGGTCTCACTACGGACCCATGTAAAAACCTGTCAGCCCTATCCTTTTTTGGTTGCAGGACCACAGGCGAGGGACATAAAATTTTCAATGAAAAAGTTGTAGAGTTGTTTTCCAACATGTGTTCCCACAGCATTGATTTTCATAGGCCTTGGTTAGAACATCATGATAGATGACATCCTGACATTGACCTATGAAGTCTCAGCTGGGTAATTTAGATCACAAAGCAGGGATAATGAACTTGGAAACAATCCCCACCTGGTTTACACCCGGGCAGATTACACGTGTGTGCACAGTGACGTTAGTTTGAATAACTGTTGTGGTAGTCGTGATCATTAAAAGCTGGGAATCTTCATTAAGCTGGCATCACACTGGCAATGGCCTTTGGTCGACTTTGTGGGTCTCCAGAAGGTTTCAGAATTTAAAAATCGTTAGAGAGTTGATTGTATTTGTAGCCTGAAAAGTTCACTTGTTACATTGGATGAGCCTCAGTGACCTTGAAATGTCGATCAATCCTTTAAAATTGCAGAGTGATTGAAAGGACGCCAGTCTTATTGGTGTCCAATACATGCCCAAAATTCTTAGACAAGCCGTCTTTCCACTGTAGCTTTGGATGTATGTAGCTTAAAACAGCATTCTGGACCTAGGCTTGCAGGGTCTAAGTCTGCTTCAAGCCAGTTAAATTCAACATGCCAATGCTGGTAGTTATGCTGATGTGTCGCAATGCCTCCTGGTGATCATGTTGGAAACTGCAGCTGAAAGAGTATTATAAACTCTTGGTTTGGTACAGTTTTCCCTCTTCCAATGCTGCAGCTGGCAAACTTGTCAAACAATGATGAAAATTACTACATTACATGTATGTGCAATAAACAAATTACAAATCAATTTCAAGAATCTCTAGCAAATATCCTTTTTTTCCCTTTTTTACAGTATTGATCCCCACAACAAGATATTTGAGTTGACAGCCGACAGTGACATCTTTTACATCCTGGACACAGAAAACAAAAATGTAAGTTTGATCCTTAAACAATAGGAAAACTACCAATACACACTGTACACTTAGAAACGTCAATGCTTGTAATTTTCGTCCTCTAAGAAGGTGTTTTTGGTTCTGTGTGCAGGCTCCTGTGTGTGCAGAGTTTTGATACACAGGACTGAAGGCTTAGCAGCCAAGAGCGAAATGACAAATACAACCCATGAATATGTCTGTCACAACAGTCACTATATCTACATGAAATTTGACCATTTGCTACTGTCTGTTACCAACACAGATTGACATTGAAATTTGTGCTGACCTTTGTTGATGTTGCTATAAAAACCTGTTTAGGTGTCTACAAGTAGAAGCATAGCCACACAGAGGTCTACGGTGGAGAGCAAGCTTGGTGTCCGACCCAACAGAACAGTTGTGACAGCGTCCATAGCACCTGGAGCAGAGTTCTCTGTTCACGTGGGATTCACGCCAAAAAGCTCCGAGGCACAAGTCCTAACAGCTATCTTTATCAGGTAGGAAGCATTTGGTAGTTTTGCTATAATGATATCAGTACTGTTGATTTCTGTAGCCTTTGGGCCACACAGTTGTGCAGGCACCACAGCAAAGGGCTGTTGTACCAGTCTGAGCATAATGGCAGAACATACTGCCCCTGTGCATGCCCCATTTTTCGTGTTTTTTGTTGGATATTTTGTCAACATTACATCATATTTTTCACCATTGCAGAATGATGATATCTTTTACACAACATTTGAAAACTATAAGCCAGGTGCCATCCTTAGATACGTGAACACAACCTTAAACAAAACATTTTGCTGAAATCCTATGCACAATACGTCACAGGTTTTGTGCAGATGCAATATGCTTTCCTGACATGCTACCAGTATGAGACTTATGTGTTGATCTGTTTCCCCAGGAATAATTTGACCATCCTGGATGCAGTGATCGCCTCGGGGCAGGGGGCACGGGAAGAGTTCCGCCTGGGCAACAGGAAACCTGGCAAGGGCACCAAGCTCAAGTTCGACCTCAAGGAGGAACATCTGGCAGACTGTAACAGTAAGTCATCAGTCTGTTGCCTGTCTATATTTATGCTGTACAATGCTACATGGGACTGGAAAACATGGAATTATGTTAAATGTGGAATTACGTTAACTTTATACTTGCTTGTTCTTGACCTGACACGGGTGGTTGATGACAGTCATTGCCATCCTTTGTTCTAGTAACGAAAGGTGATTCGAATTCTGTTCTTTTTTTTTCTTGGATATCTGTTGTATAGTACACAGTACTCGAACCTTTGTATGTGTGCCCTCATTTGCTTGCCATACTTAGCACTGGAGTTGCACTAAAGTGACTGCAATTACTACTGTAAGTCACTGATGAATGCTGTCTGAAATGTTGGACTATTTGGCGAAGTTATCCAGCTACTTGATATATTATTTGTCATGTATTATGTATAATTGTCTACCTGCATGTTTAATTTTCATCGAGGTTACTCTTACATCTTTGTCGCATAATCTTTACAGGAACTCTAAAAGCGAGGGTCCCCAACTTCACAGTCAGGAAAACTTTTATGGCCAAGAACGCCGGTCAGCTGCCCATCCAGGTGACACAGATGGAAATCAACGGCCAGCTGTGCCAGGGCTACGGATTCAGAGTTCTAAACTGCGAACCCTTCACCATCAACCCTAATGGAACTCACAGAGTGGACATTGCGTAAGTACTACTCGGGAGTGCCTCCTTGCAGGTCTGTCGGGAATTGCACCCTGCAAGACAGCATTGGCAATTTCCTGCCTGGACTCTTGGTTGGAATGATGGTCTTTCCTTTGATAAAAGACAGCATAGGGGCTCAAATCGCACCATTCTTATGTAGTAGGCCTAAATCCCAGTACAATAGGCCTAGGGGTCCCCATGCTCAAATGTGTTTGTGAGAACACTGTTCTCTCTCATACATGATGCCACCTTCATTAACTGTGGTCAGTGTGTAGTTCAGGAGATCAAGGATTTTGTTATGAATTCTAAGATATCTATTCCTGTATCTTGTGACATATGAAGTAATCAGTGTTGTATATTCTTTCATCAACAGTTTTACACCAGACTTCACACTCGCTCAGGTGCAGAGGGAACTGTGGATAACAACAGCACGTGACCAGGTCCTGAAGTACACCCTGCTAGCCAAGGTGCCCCACAACAAGCTGGGCCCCTGCGCTGCTGCCATGCCCCGACCCCCATGGGAACACATGCTGTACGTCTCCTGCGCATTCCTCATGACTGTTTTATTTATCGGCGTCCTCATGGCGGCCTACCTGGAATCTGAACGTATCACCGAGCCTTTAAACAGACGGAACCTGGGCAATGATTTACAACAACAGCATCAGAATATCCTTCCGCCGGAAAAGTTAAACCCTTTCGACTTGAGGAAAGATGTGGACAGAGGGAAACCGTTGCACCACGATGTTACAGACGGTGCTCATGATCAGACTGGCAGCGCGGTGAGACGTAAAAAGGACCCCTCCCCGCCTGGTGGGGGAGGGTCTGTCACGCCAACACTGCTTAACAACAGAGTGGTGAGCAGCCAGGCAGTAAACAACGGCAAGACCAACATTACCGTCGTCAGCGAGAAGAAATTCTTACCCGACAAAATAAAACACAACAACCTCGGTAACCAAGTGTCGTTTGTGGACAACATACACGACGACCCCAGCAGCAAACGCTCCAGGCCCTCCAAACAGCGGAACCTGGAGGACTGGGAAACTCTCGACGAAATGGAAAAATGCAAACCTGAAGGCAGCTTCGACGATGTAGAACTCCCACCAAAAGGAAGTAAGGATGGAAAAGGACGAAGATCATCCGAGCCACTCACCTCCTTGCAGGAAGACCTTAGCTTGGAGACAACGCAAGAATCGCCAAATTCTTCCTCGCCTCAAAGACGTAAGTTTGGTGTTAGATCTGTAAGGATGTAAGGTCCACCCCGGTGTACTGTGGTCAAGATACACCACATTGCAGATGTGAGATGTGATAGATTAAAAGTTTTGTAAAACAGACCCACTTGCAGTGGGTCAGAGAGAATGGAAAAGATTAGAAAAAACTTTTTTCTGGGCATGAGCTACATTGTACCCACAGTATTAGGTAAGTTAAGGTAAGCCTTGTGCAAGTAACGTAGCCTTAGGTTAATGTTGTGTTCTCATATAAATTCTAGCCATCTCCTAGTCACAGCAAAATTAATGTACTTGAGTAGTGCTTTTTATATAGTTATCCATAGGTACTATTCTTTGAGTTTTATACTAGACACATTTTGTTTCCATGATAAATAGAATGATGTACTTTTTCCTATATGCAGGAGGGGGAAAAGTAAAGCCAAAGAGAAAGTTGAAGACAGCACTGAGAAGAGAAGAGAAAGAGCGCCGAGCGCGGGAAAGGAAGGAGGCCATGAAGGAACAGATCCCTGACGACGCCTCGTCAACCACGACAGAAAATTCCAACCCAGATCTCGAGTCCATCGACAAGGACAGCAAAGATGTAAGGAGACATTCAAATGTTCTTTTAGGCAACTATTCATTCATTATTTCGGTCATTCATCCATTCATTTCTTTCATTCCTTCATGTACATGTATTCACTCACTTTCTCATTCCTGTACATTTTCAAAATAAAATGGGAGATAAGTAACCCCAAAGAATACAGATTGCAAGAACGGCATATTCATACATGTACATTCATACAACTTAGACAGTCTTTTTATTTTCTTATCTATACAGACTGATGTTGATACATACATAGTAGTGACCTGAAAGCTCTTGCACTACATGTATGTAGAGCATGTCATGTATAAACTTTCAGTCCCACAAGAAATCTTAGAATTGTAGAATTTTTGTTATTATCAAATTGTGTAATTTTGCTTAACTATTCTGATATGCTTTTTGTTTGCAGACATCTAGCGTTCTCTCAGACCTATCAGACCAGCTCGAACCATTCGGTCCCCCGGACAATGGGAAAGAGAAACCCAAAACCAAGTCAAAGAAGGAGCCCCTTGCGATGGATCCTGAGGACTTCAAGCCCTTCGAGAAGGCCCGGTCAAAGTCTCGCCGATCGGACAAGGAGAATCTTTACGGCAATGTCATGCGTCCGAGGTGGGTTCTACGGAATGACACAGTGGTGTTTTTATACAGGTCCAGTTCTTCCAAGGCCACACCAATGCTATTTGCTGCTTCTTCAATTTAGAAGAAAAATAACTTAAAAACAGATCTAGAGTTGAATGAAAAGTCTGAACCTTGGTACACAGAATTGTGAATGTAGAAAAACTGATGAATTCAAGTTTTGCTCCCAACCACCTGTTTCCATCATCGAAATTATGAAGCAAACGTATGAAACTGTAATTACCAAGTTGAACACAAAAAATTGGACTTACTCAAATTTTTGACTGAGTGTCTGAAAGAAAGATTGTTGTGACTGTGGCCCCGGTATTATTTGTTTGTTTGTTGCTGAGAAGGATCTGAGACGGAAATTGTGTACAGATTTTCATGACATTTGGGATTGATATGCATCTTTTACATTTCAGCTCCTCGGATATGTCAGGATTAATACTAAACTTTACTGAAGAGGGTATAGCAGCAGAGACTCAAAGACGGTACAATTTGAGTCGTACATGTGGTGTGCAATCTAAGGGTGTGGATGAGTCGTCCAATAGACTATTGTAGCCAAAAGACTTGGTCATTTGGTGGTTTGGTTAAGGGGCTTACGTATCCTCAATAGTTACAAATGTTGTATGGTGCTGACAGTGAGCTTGGATGGGTCAATGCCATAGAAACAAGCTTAAGGTGACATCTGGGCAAGGAGTTCTTCTAGCAGCAACCTTATTGCACAGTCTGTTACCTTTTCAGGAGTCATGTGTGTTGCCGTGGTCAGATGTTGATTTTGATGTCTTTTCAGTAACATATAATTAGAATTCAGTGTGATGTGTATGGAAGATTTAATAGAGATAATCATTTGTGTTTTCCGTGCAGTACTTTGGAACTACCGTACACGACGGCCCTGGAAGCCAGCGAGAGGCAGGCCAAAGGACTGACATCCCCCCATTCCATCGCAGCCAGCGTGGCCAAGAGAGCGCTGAAGAAGAACAGGAAAGGCAGAGGTAGTGAGAGCACCTGTCAGTTAACAACTTAGATCAACAGTTCCTCTCGGTGTGATAAGTTGTCAGTCACTCATTTCGGTCTTTACATATTAGATTCTTTCAATTGTTGGAAGCTTTTATCACAGAATAGGGCAGGGTCTACACTTTCAGTGGTGTGTCCTTTAATGTATGGCTCTTACAAAAACATTCATTCATTCAATCATTCATTCTTTTCCTCCTGTCCAGATGAGAAGAGTGACACCAGTAGTGAAGGTGGGAAGGACTCCCCTCCCCCACTGTGGGACCTCCCGAAATCAGGCTCCGCCAGTGGTAAGCCTACAGCCTCTTCTACATGTACATTGAAGTTGACAGAAGTTAGGATCTGTTGAAATTGCCTTAACAGTACAAGGAGTTTGAATTATAAACCAGTCTATCATGTTGACTTTGTGGCTCCTACATATATGGTAGCATTTGCAATTTGGGTCTATGATCGTACTTTAGGATGCCTTTGCCTGCTACCCATTTCAGTTGCCAAGTTTCTTTCATCTTAGACCTCTCCATTTTTCAGAGAGGACGAAAGAGACTCAGCAGCTACATAGGTTTGGTAACCAGGCTAAGAATGTCTAGGCCAATTTTTTCCTTATCTTTTGCCTGCCTACTTCATAGATCTATTTGGTCTAAAGCCTGTTTTTTTGTCCTGTTCCACAGAAGACAGCTTGCACCAGCTCTCCCTGCAGACCCGCCAGGCCGGACACCTCTTCCGTGATGAGATCCTCTCGTCTGGCAGTCTGTCTCCCTCCTCCCCAACCCCCCTGACTGGAAACGCCCCTCAGGTTTGTTTTTTGTTTTGCTTCCTTGAGTAAACTGCATAAAGGTGTAACATACCAGTGAAGAAAAAGGTGTAAAGTACCTTTCCTGAGAGCACAACATTAGGGCCTGCTCTTATTTGAACCACAAGCCTTTAGATGCTAACAACAAGATGCCATCATTTCAGGTGGCCAGCCGACTGACCGGCAGCAGCTACAGCAGTGTGGTCAGTGGTGCCAACAAGCGCAAGACTGTTTCCAAGACCATGTCTGCACCAATGGACCCCTTAGCTTCCGCCTTTACCCCCGCTAGCACATCCCAGAAGAACCCAGGTTTGTTTGTTTGTTTGTTTATGTAGAACCTCCAGTAGAGAAACACATACATCATTACACTTACTAATCTTCCTAGAGTCCTTTTCTAATGCGATTTAACATATTTTATTAAATTTTAATACAATATAATACAATTACAGATACTTGTATATAGGTTGATCCATTTGTATAGTTGAAGTAGACCTTACAAAAGTTGCAGTACTTTGTTGTCTGTTGTATTCTTCTTATGAAGACTGAGGTTTCCATGTTCCTTCCAGGAGTGATCGGTTCCAAGACGATGCCCCCCAAGTCCCTGTCCATGACATCTCTGAAGAGGAACCCTTGGAAGGCATCAGGCCAGGACAGCTCCAACACCAGCTCCGAGAGCAGCAGCCCTGGTGCATCCTGGGCCGGCGCCGGGTCCCAACGGCTCACCAGCGGGTTCTCCAGCGAGGGGAACGTACCATCGGCTTTCTTCAGCGATGGTAGGTGGAGCGCTTTTAGCTGATGTTACATGTATGTTGTAAAGCATACATACTAGTAGATGTCTACAGCCACCAAGCAGCCACCAAGCACTTTTTGGAGGATGATTGACTGACTGATACTGCAGTACCATACCACTGCAAAATCTTGTTGAAAAAGTGTTTAGACATTCATAATTTATTCATGACCCACCCTGTTTTTGCTGTTCTAGTTTCTGCCTTCCCTCCCACACCAACTGGTACTGAGTACAAGGGCACTCCTGCCTCGCTGAAGGACTCTGCTGTTGGGTTTGAGCGGAGCATTAAGAGACCAAGGGAGGCTGGTGAGTGTATTATTAATATTATTGTAGGCTAGGTAGGGTAGACTAGCTCTCTAGCCCACTGGCATGCTTGCACAACAGTAGTTTCTGTTTTGCTGATGTTGCTTCTTCAATTAAATACAATACAAACTTTATTTCAAAATCATGCCCGAAAGCCAATTGCAACACACAGTTATAACGACCTCATAGTCATACCTTCACCAAATATTAACCTTTATAACTGATGAATTACATTTTTGTCATTGATTGTGCAAATAAAATCCTCATTTGCATGAATTATATCAGTTGATTCTCTACCCAATGAAAGTCTTACATGTACAAAGGCGTTTCTAGTATTTCCACACAAATTATGCAAATGAGGTCCTAATTTGAATAAGTTATGTTTAATGATATTTACCTTCCTGCCCCCAGACCCCTTCTCCTCCAGCTGGGAAGGAGTTTTCAACCCTGCTGCGAACGTCAACAACCTGCTCGAGGAGGACCCCCAGCCGACCTTCGACCCCCAGGCAACCTTTCACCCCTTTGGAACTGTGGCAGGCACCAGTGCACTCTGGGATACCCCATCATTCTCTAGTGCAATGGGCGAGCAGCCGCCGTGGTCTCGTGAGACCGGGTCTCCGCAAAGGCCATCACCGGTGAGACCTCTTTTTGCTTTGTATCTGATTGTATCACGTAACCAGTTAACAGTTTCTTGGCATAACACATTCAGCTATGTACATTGATACAAACTGTAAGGCATTTTGAGACATTGCTCTCCTAAAAGATTAGATTGAGGCTTAGAATTTGGGTTGTTTTTCTTCACGCGACTTAATTGCATTCTACTATAAATAGTTGCTGTCTTTAGGATGGGATGTTGTGATCCACTGGTCATAGCTTGTACTACTACCCTCGTGGCTCACTGAACCAGTGTATATACTGTATGTAGCATATGTGTGCTTTTCTTTATCCTAAAACCAGTAGAAAAGTTACTATCAGTACTACATTAGACCACGTTAATAATCACATTTCTCTTTCCAATGCACAGCTTCTGTCCACCAGTGCCCCAACTAGTATGTGGGATATCCCAGCGTCCTCTGCTGACGCTCTGTGGAGCATGCCCAGTACGACCTCCACCGCCGGTCTCTTCCCCTCCATCTGGCCGCCATCCCCGGACACTCTGCAAGGGGGTGCCGCTGCACACCCTGACGGAAACGGCCAGGAGAAGCCAGAGGTACCCCAGGGATTATGAATTAACTTGCTTCCTCTGTAACGTTACACGAGATAGAACATCATACAACATTGTGTTATGCCCTGTATTGTATTGTATTGTATTTGTAAATGTTCCCCTGTACATTTGGCCAGCTATCACCTAAAAACGTGTTGGCTGTGATACCATGTTGGGTCATTTAAAGTCCATGTTACAATGCTAACAGCCTGTATTTTGCCTTTTTTTCCAATCTATGTTTATTTCTTATGCTTTTGCATTTTCTTTGGAGTGTGCAGACTATGTTGCCCATAAAACGTACTTGCTGTGGCCTAAGTCTTTCCTTAACTTAGCCCACTTCTCCTGTGGCTTGTCCTAACCGAGGCTCTCTCTCCCGTTTCCCAGGCCCAGTCCGCGGTGTCTCGTCTCGGCTCCCTCTTCAGCAACAGCATCTGGGGACCGTCCCTGGCCGGCGTGAACTCTGACCCCTGGGCACCTGCACCCAAGAAGGATGACAACTAGGGCAAAACCTGAACCCTGATTGGTTGAAGCAAATTTCTCTCATCCCCAGTTGGTTTAAAAAGATTTCTCTGGACTCTGATTGGTTCAAGCAAATTTGGTCCTTCCCTGATTAGTGGAAGCAAATTTTGCTGATCCCTGATTGGTGGGAGAAAATTTCTTTGACCTCCAATTGGTTGAAGCCAGTTTTTCTTTTCTGATGTTTCATTAGTGTTTTTAACTAATCATTTGACAAGATTTGATAAAGTTGTCATGTCATATTTTCTGCCTTTGTAAAACCTTGATATGCCAATGCAGATCGGCTGTTTGTATTCTGTTTTTGACATGCAAGACAATATGTAACAAAATTATTCTCTGACATGACTATCCTCTGACTGAAATAAAATGTTGTTCTCAGAAATTTGTTGACACAGAATGACATTGATACAAGGCTCCTCCACTATTGTGCATTTAACAATGCCTTATGATGTCCTCATTTTGCTTAGCAACAACCAATCAGGGTACAAGGTACCTCATTTTAAATGATACACAGTAATCTATGGTTAACTAGGAACTGAATGGCTCGTCTAAGTATTGTATACAAGTGCCACCTAGCATGTTTGTTAGGAAGTGCAGTTTCAGATAGCCTGGTGTTAAGTATGACAAGTGATTACTGATAGTTTGTCACTATAAGAATTTGCTTACAATGGTATCGTTGCCCTACGGTGTGTCCTCCCTGGGTAGTTAGTGTTAGTGGGGTGCCCAAGGGTACTTCCATGGATGACATTCTTGCATAGGTTGACCAAGGTTATTATACATGTATATAATGTCCTTGGGTTGACCAATAGTTCACAGTTTAAACTGCACAAGGTCAAATGTGAAGGCCATGTGTTAACATGTAAACATTTCTTTGCTAGACTGCGCGTTATTCATGTTCAGACTTGTTTTGTTGACGTCTCAGGGGCCTTCAACTTTGACATACTATTCGCAATTTGCATCATAATGCACACGTGATGTTTAAATGGTGCACGAACTAATAGGGGGCACCAAGTTTTACATTGTTGTAAAAAGAGGGTTATGGTAAAGGAAGAAATACAATTGTAGGATGAAATTTAAATATATATACACTGTCTCATTTTGACAAACAAAAAACAAAAAAAAATGTCAACCCGAAAGAAAAGAAAGCAACCAAGCCCTACATCCTTGACTGCCCCTTGTGTCCAGGTGTTAATCAAGTTTTCATAAACTTGAATTTTTTTGGCCATGCTGAAACCATTCTACTTATGGCTTTACATCTCTGTGTATACTTGAAACAATATCGGATGTCATCCATAGCAGTATCTTGAAGTACCCTAGGGGTCTCTTGGATATCTAAGTCATACATGTACATGACCTGGTATATTAGTATACAGTCAAAACTGCACAAAAAGACCACTCCACAGACTGATAAAATCTGGTCTGTATGGACAGGTGGTCACTATAGACCAGATTCTCAATGCTTGTTTCAATGGGAAAAATTATCTATGTTACCACCAAAAAGTGGTCATATTGGCCAGGTGGTACTAATATAGATCTAGAGGTGGTCACTTGTACAGGTTTGACTGTATGTTGGTCTACGTACTATGGGGGTGGCGCCCTTTTTTGTTGCCATGGCAACTGGGGTTACAGGGCATCCTTCAGGTGTCTGCATATGTTGGGAATGGCGGTTTGTTGATTCACAAGTTAAAGAGCAACGCATTAAGCTAGTAACGTTTGGGGAGCATGTCACTAGTACCAACGTGACAAAAAGTGGGGGTGTAGTTCTAAAGGTGAAGCCTGCCTTCAGAAATGAACGCCAAGAAAAATCTGAAAACACGGATGTTTGTTGTCCATGGGATGCCATGATTAAACAATGGAGGGAGTTGGGAAGCATTTCCCACCCATACAAGAGGTTTTTGCAGCTTTGGCATTATAATCCTAATGTACAACTGGTCCCACCAGTTTTCATGGCGTCATTCAATTCTTTGAGTGCACCAAACATGCTTTTATGCTGCATTTAACTGATTTAAGATGGTAATAACAACATTCATGGTTCCACAGTACACATGTACCAAGAACTTGTCTGTAAAAGTCGTGGATGCAAACAGAGCCCTTTGTTTCATCGGACGACAAAACCTTGTCATTTTCGTAGTCATTTCTCTGTTGTGTTGTACAAAAACTCTTCTAGGAAAACCACACTTGAATGAGTTTGGTTGTCAGAGGACGGCCTACATTATGTTTATTGCATACTTTTGGTATCGGAACCTTGAAATGCAATACGTTACCATCTTCTGTTCTGCTCTATACTGGAAAAGTTTCCAAGAGGAAGGGATTGCTGTTATAAGTACATAAACACGTAGTGGTTGGTGTTGGAACTCGATGGTTGAGAGAAATTATGAGTCTTGCAAGAACACCAGAGACTCATTTTATCCCTAAGAATATCAAAAGACTCTTTCTTGTTGGTTTGGTGAAAGTGCTTGGTTATGAAATATTAAGAGGATATGTTTTAAGATGATCACATGTAATGCAAAGGATCTTATTTTCTTATGTTGAACATTAAAATTGTTCAGATCATTTTATGGCAAGACACAGCCACAATAAAAAAGCAAGAGAAAAGGAAAGCGCTCTGTGTTGTGATTTCACTTGTTATGACTCTTGAATGAAAGGTTTATTTCAATATGGTCACATTCAATACCATAGCAGCCATAATAAGGATCTGTCCCTATGCCAAATAAACTGGTAAACTAAATAAACTGGCATTTTTCGGCCTCCTTGTTTTCAGACTATACTCTGTATGGTCTCCTTTCTATTCCTACTTATTGCTTTTGCCCAAATTTCTTTCATTCTCAACTTACACGTAAAAATGTGATTTTGCGATCGGCTGATCGCTTGCAGAAATGGTCACAGTCTTGACAGATGTGAATTTTCCGTGTCGATCTCATTACCATATGAATGTAAACCAAGCAGATGCATGGTGGAAGGCAAAATCGTAACAGCTTGGGATTGCCATAGTTATACGCCTGGCAGAGGCTCTGTTTCCATTCATAAGATATTGAGACCGACACTGAAAAATTCACAAATTGATTTCCTTCGTATATTGCAGTCGGTGTATTAATATTCAATTTGTAGTCATGAAGGTTCAAACTGAAGCCATCCCTGTCCTTGGTGCTGAAATGTCCACCTCCCCTGTTCGTAAGAATATTACTTGGTTGCCGAGCATTTTCACCTCCCCTAGCCTCATAAATCGGCTTTGTAGAGGCAGTTCTTACGACTCAGTAGCTTATCTGGGGGAAAATAACTGCCTAAAATAGTCCCGTTCGTCCGAAAATCCATCGTAACTTCAGTTGTTTACATGAAAAGTAAAGCGGCTTTATAGCTTTGAGTCTGTTGTCCATATTTGGTCAAAGAGTCAGACGTCATAATTGTTTCTCTTTACTATCCAATCAGGCTCGACGACTCAAAAGCATAGACATGATGAGAACCAATCAGCATCAAAGATACATCGGTAAATGACCATCTGCGCCATGTATCAAAAGCGACTTCTAGCAGTCGGTGAAATTAATGCATGTAAAAATCTCCTCAAGTACCTGCAATAATTCCGCGAACTGCTAGAGGCCCTCATTGACACGTGTGATGAATTGGCATTATGGCGCATGTGGATGCATCACAGCATGCAATTAACTAAAACGTGAGGGAGTAAACTTTGTAAAGAAGGGTGCACGTTCGCCAGGGATGGAAAGATTCTTCTGGACACCTCAGGTATGAATTATTACACTTCTAGAAAGGGTGGAAAAAATGGGACGAAAAGTTTATGCGTTTATGCGTTTTATTGATGTTTGTTTAATTTTTCGTTACTAAACATATTTTCCTTGATTTTGTTCTTACTATCAGTTCTCACCGTCCAGAAAACAACTAGACGTGAAGAATGGATCATATATAGAATATTGCAACAACTAGTTCTGTAATTACTTGCGCTATTTTTACTTTAAACGCCAATGTTTACACCCATTCCTGCCTATATTTAACCCAGCATATCGCCTGGAGGATTGCGTAACTACATCGCATGACGTAATGGGGCACCTGGACTTAATGCTGCATATATTTGAGCCTCGTTATAAGACGAAATCCGCTGTTTTGATTGGTTGTCCTTTAATTGAATCATTGCTCAGCTAAAACCTATCAAATAACCATTTTATTGAATAACGTTTGAAAATCTAAGACTTGCTTCGCCAGAAGCGCCCTTTTAGTCACAAATTGCGGACGTTTCGGTTACATTCGGCTATATTTTATAACTTTGTGATCTTACCGTTGATACTATGATATGGGAAGAATTGGATTTTCAGTTTAACAAGCGTCGATAAAGAGAAATAAACACTCAAAGATCGAAGTACACAAATGAAATATTTCATATCTACGCATGTCGCGTGAAATTTAGTCTTGTTGTACCGCGAATTATTTTTGACGTATTGGAATCCCTAGAGGCAATTGTCGCAATAACTGTAATGTTTGTAATTTGCTACTAGCTAGAAAATGTCCTTATCGCAATTAGAAGATAAATGGGTAAAAAAAATCATTTAATATTTATAGGAAAATTATCAACGTGTGTTTTCCTCGAGGCCTCCTTAAGCAAAATGGATGAGGATAGAAAAATTGAGAATTTCGCATTCGTAAGATTTTTCTGACCCGCATATGTGGTGATTTCCTATTGGCCTGTCATTAATCTTATATGTTAACTTGATTATCGAATGCAAATTTGGCTCGTGATTTACAGGTGGCATGCACATGTGCGTGAAACACGCCTTTCCAAGATGGGGAGTGTGCACGGAAGGGAAGAACGAGCTGGGTAAAATTCCGCCCAGGAAGACGAGCCACGTCCGCTTTGGTGGTAAGTTGTACTTTAAATCGTCGTAGATACTCTCTTGACTATTGTCGGTAAATCTCCTCTGAGGTGAATGAAGCAAAAAGACAGAATTTTGAAAATAAGTTGCGGCAACTGTCCCCCACGAGTTAACGCTGCACCAAGTTAAGCAACCGATGGGGGCGCTTTTGTGTGGTCCAGTAAGGAAGATAAAAAGACACTTTCATTTATTCAATTTTTTGCACCGTACCCACACCAGTTCTTTGAACATGGTTCAATCAATTACTAGTCAATGAGGGTGAAATTAATGATCCTGAAATAGAAAAACTACACTAATCTTAAGAGGTGCACTTTGTAAATAATCCGCTGAGGGGCGCTTTTATGTGACCCCTGACCCGAACGGCTTTGCTTGAAACGTGGTTTGTTGTTGTCCTTTGTGTTTTGGTCAAATTCTATGCGTTTCAATGTAAAACAAAAGTGTCCGAGGCCGATAGCATACAGAGGGGACAGGATAGTACCGTTTGTGTAGAGGATGACATGGATAAGGTGATAGATTTGGAAGGAGGAGGAGGGGAGACAGACGACCGGTAACATTTCCGAGTGGGGAGGGGGGCGGTAACAGAGTTGTTTTATGTATCAAAGACCGTATCCAGGGTTATGATATACGTCACATAGTGCTCAGGAAGGTAAATTTCTAGGTAGAAAAAACACCAAGAATCCACCATAAGTTTGTCTGCAAGAGAAGCGGTGTTTTGGTCTGGAACAGGTCAGGATTTTTCTATGCATGGTAACCAGTTGTTGAGCGGTAAGGCCATAATGTCAATGTGAGAAAACCAATTGTACAATCAATGTTTTATAACTGAAAAATTTATTATTTATGTCCCTTGCGCATGCTGGAATCCACCCAAAAAAAAAGTTTAGGGTCGGCAGGTTTTTCTAGGGTCAGTCGGTAAACAGGAAATGTTATATAAGTATATGTAACTATATGTGCAATTGTTACAATAAGTTAACTATATGTGCAATTGTTACATGAGATGCATATCATGTTGTTACTTGGATTGTGATATCTTTTGTGAGATGTATAAAATTCTGTGATTGTTGTTTGGTCAGTAGTTTATGTTCACTGTTGACTCTGTTCAATGTGCTCATGTTTTATTTATTTCGGCTTTATACAAAGAAGCCAGGG